GCACCCAAGATCGGGACAGCATCTGCATGACTCGGCGCGAACACAAGCATAGTGTGATACCAAGGTCTGTAGAGACCAAAAAGCGTCTTCACATCGGAATCTCCACCTCCCACCTGGACCAGATTTGGTGCATCAGGCGCCCTGTCTCCAGCCTCTAGGTGTTCCTCGTCAAGCACCCCGTACGCATTGATAGGCTTCCCTGGGATTGCAAACTCGTCGAGAACGATGTCGCTGAATCGGTAGTTGATCCCAAGCATGAAAAGGATGGGGCTTCGTGCAGCGGGCATGTTGCCTGTCTGTACTGCGCGGTCGAGAAGGGTGGTGGTCATCTCAAGCATCTCGGAGATGACAGGCAGACGCTCGGTATTATACGTCTCAATAAGAGACTTGTCGGCGAGTCCTTTTTCGACGAGCGCAAGTTTCCAACCTAGATTGAACTGGTATACGGTCAGTAGTGTCATACATACTGCATTGAAAAGCTCACAGCATCTTGTATACTTGAATTGAGCCCCTGTTCATAAATAGATGAGTAGGCATCTGAATTTGATCAGAACGCACACACCTGACCACCGGTTGGACTGTGGACACTGAAAACATGTCAGAATCAGTTTGGAAAGAAAGCGCTCAAAGATAGACATACTGAGCAGCATCTACATAGACTTGCCATCAGCACTGGCACATCATTGAAAAATAGAATCACATACCGCCCGCAACAAAGACTCGGCCCTCGCTGAACTTGTTTACCATGCGGATATTGGCCCTAAAGTAAACAAATGAACATTTTAAAACGCATCTATGCAACAAGATAAGACACACCTGAACTCGCTCACCCAGACGAGCTTGTTGAACGTAATCTCAGTGGGTATCACTGATGAGATAGTCTCGAAGATCAGCTCTTCGCTCTGAGCGACCGTTGCCAGGTCTAGATCATTGTCAATAATGACAAATTGCCAGCCATCCTCGCCAATCTCGCCTGTTGGACGCAATGAGGCTCTGCCCAGCATCAATATACACATCCCCAAGCCTCAAGAACAGAGATCGGACATACCCTCGCTTGAAGGTTCCAAATCGATGCGAATACTTTTAAGACAGTATCAGGAGCACTCCTTCATGGAGCAAGTAGAAATCGGACGCACTGCCCTATCAAGACCAACACCATGTAAACGAATATCTCCCATGATCAGTCGGATATCGTCTCTAGTCTCGCCCAAGAATGTAAGCCCAAGCTGTTTGCGCACGACGCCTGCAAACCATAACTCAGACTTATCCTCCAGCATATGAATTTGATCGCAACTCACCTTTAGCTCCATCAGCGCCGACAATCCACTTGGTATCGAAAGTCTCCAATATGCCGTTCTTGGCTAGAACGGCCGTGACACCTTCATCGGACTGCTCGAACGAACGCAGTTCGGTGCCCATCTCGACAGAGCACGAGAATTTCTCTAGGTGACGTCGCAGAATCACATCTAAGAGTTGTTGACCTATTAGCTTTGGAGTGTGCTAAAGTACAAAAAAATCGTGATTCGTCAGCATAGCTGCTTGAGAGGCGACGCCGGAAGGTTCTGCACAGTACGTACAAATGGTATCGCAGGGGTAGGTTCCGCATGCGGTATCATCAACGATTCTGTCGCGATTTCCATTGTCCCGGGCTTGTATGAACGGATTCTGGAAACGGGTTTCGCCAGCTCGTTGACTTCTGGGACATTCAGGAAGTTGAAGAGTTCGAAGGAGCGTGGCTGGATTGTGCATCAAATGAGACTTTAGGAAATTAGAGAAGTGGTGTGATGACACACCCAGATTCCAGGACCACGCTGTCCGATTTGAGGGTTCGGATCTTTGTCCACGATGCGAACTGGTATGCCATTCTGGAGGAGCGTCAACGCTGCTACCAGACCTGCTGGCCCAGCGCCTACCTAAGAAAGAGGAACTAAGCTGAGGGCCAACGATCCATCATAAGCCGTTCACTTACGACTAGCACGGGAGGACGAGTAGAATTCATGTGTAGAGTTAGTTCAGAGGTTTTTGGATCAGTATAATGGACAGTCACGTCTTATAACATAGGGGACAGCCGACCACAGCGGAAAGGTGGCGCAGGTAACATGTGCCCTCCAATTATGTATCAGTACCGCAGCAGTGATAGAAAGGAACCGCCAACGTTATACATACCTGTTGGATGATTTGTCGAAACGTTTGTCAGTGACTTCACACAGCTGCGGACGCACCGCCATGGCTTTGATGGACGTTCGACATTCAACTTCGAACGCATTGAATTCGAGCACCAGATGGTATTGATGTCTGTTCCCAAGCCTAACTTTGAAGCAACTTGCGTGTGCCTTGTGGGGCTTAGCCACTGCAGGAACAACAAACATACTTGTATCGAGAAATTTACAGTGGCGCTCGGTCAAAAGTCCCAGATATGTGCATATATGTGAGGGGATGTAGTCTCCAGACCTCAAGTTTTTGGGTCGTGATTCCTACCAGTAGGCTATACTTGCCGAATCCCAATAGCGAGCGCGAACTTTGGTTGCCACCAAATGCATTGAAGATGTTCTCAATGTCCTGATTCCAAATGTTGGGTAGACAAGATTGTGATCAGAGACTGGCGACTGCTCAAGGGAAATCAAGCCTAAGGATTGAACGAGAATGACGCGAGAGCAACCCGGTAACTGACTACTACCATGTTTAGCTAGACTCGTGACTGGCCTGACAAACAGCCACAAACAACCCTCTCGGTTAGCTGTATGTAGCTAGACTTAATGGAAGGTTCCGTACAATATTTGGTGATGGAAATTAGGAGTGAAGAGGATTCGACTACAGTAATGCACCGTCACTTGCGTCGGTAAAACTTTGAGAATGTCTCACGACACAACAACACATTTAAAAAAAAATCGTGATTGACAATTACTTTCTAATACATGAACTATTGTGTATGATAGAATATTGAGAGCATCAGAACATGTGTTGTAGAGTGGTGAATGAATCAAGAATAAGGCCTTTATCAACACTCCACTGGCACTTGCGTTGGTCCCAAAAATGGTATTACTTAATGATAAGAACTAATTGTACGTGATTAAAAGATTTTTGTTAGTACACGATGCGCCAGATGGTAATGTGCCCACCCTGATTTAGCTAATATCTGTCATTGCATAATGTACTTAGATATGATAACTCATTGATTGTGAAGTTTTGTGTAACCCTTCACCGGCATTGAACTGGCACATCAGGAATGCTACGATCCTTACAAACAACACATGTCAGATGTCAGTAAAGGTAATCTTCATTGATATATGAAGTTTGAGTGCACCGCAAAAACCATTCAAAGGTGCTATGTACAGAAAAGTGAAATTTCAGCTATAAATTGCAACATCATGACCTTTCCTCCTGGCAGATTTGAGATATTATACTAGCCATACATAGCTCTACGTGCCATGAAAATACATCAGCAAGAATTGTGTCTAAATAATGTGATTTGACAATGTTGTTGTGCATCGACGCAAGTGATGGTGGAAACACAAGTGGCGGTGGATTACTGTAAATATTATGTTGGTCCAGATGTGAAGTGCGCTCCCCAACAAGTAACACCTTGACCTCTATGCTACTTAATAACTATGGTGATTTTAAAATACTAGTAGTGAGTTGCAATATAGTAAAAGCACAACAGACCACTAAACATTCAAAAATATTCTCGAGAAATGCTTCTTCACACCTTCTGCACCATGTACGATGATCCGCCCCATTCTGAGAGTCACTCCGTCCGGCCGTATCGGAAGTAGAAACTGTGTAGCTTACTAAGCTACGGGAACAACTTCAATGTTTCAATGTTAACCATCGCAACTGACGCAACATAGGACGCACTTTCTGTTCCTACTCCATTTTACTTCTCTCCACCTTTGTATACTTATATCTCATTGCTACCGCTGCCTCATCTGACTCTCTTTGTACCTGCTTTGATGTTATTCAACAACCATTTGATAACACTCACCTGCACCTTCCATTTGTATGCCTAGTTGCTGTTCGCTTGTAAACCCACCTACTTTGGTAGATTCTGATTGAATTCACTACCCTTTTGTTGCTCAATGCCTACAAAACCTGAACGTCCCTACCCGACAAGCCTATCTAAAGTTTTGCATCTCCCTCTCCAAACTCTTCGCCAACACATTCCCCAATAAACTCAGTCACGACCTTCAAACTAGAAATGAGCAAGTATTACCACCGATCAGACCAGCCATCAGATATCAAGTATTCATAAATAGACATACAATCAATCAGCAGCATCTACGGCAACTTCCATCAGCACAGCTACACACGCCTCATACCGCCTAGGCCCTACAACGGACACTGTACCCTGGCTCAACTCATTCACCATGCAGATATTGGCCCTAAGAGAGATGCATTGACACATATTGAAGAGTTTGAGAAAGTGTAGCCATGTTGTGCATTCAATGAAACCATGGTCTGGTATGTCTCAAGTACTAGTACTAGGGCATGACAAATTGGAGGAGTGTCAATGCTACTACCAGATGGCATCAGATCCTTTGGGTGTACATATCGTGTAGGTATACAGTCTCAAAGTCTGCAATATTGAAGTCCTTGGTAAGTAACAGGTTGTGCTATGATTGGATGCTACATGCGAAGGCGTCAGGTTGTCTCAAGAATGCTTTAATCAACAAGGTGGGAAGACGCACAGAATTGATCATATGCCAATATGCACAAACACTATGTGCTGGTCCAAGGGCATTGTATTGTCCATGTCGCAAGCCAACGACTGGATCACTCGGTGCAGGGCCCAGGCAGCTCATTTGGAGTTCATTGGGCCATCCCCACAAAAGTTTTTGTAGAATGCTTCTACTAAGTGTTGTATGGTACTATCAGTGACCTTCCACAATGTTCCCACGATGCTGTTGACCCCAGCAAATTGCAGGCCGGCTGCTAGGTGTATCACTTCATCAGGCATACTAACGACACCGACCGTGGTTTCACAGGCAGAAAGAAATGCAAATTCATGCCAGGACAGATCCATCTGTGTGATATCGAGGAGCAAAAGTGGCTGGTTGCGCATGAGAAAGGCCGAAGGGCACTGACGGGGACTTGTCATGGCTTCTGCGAGCCTTGATCAGCGCGGTGAGCGAGGGCGTGTATGAAGAGATATACTGCTGCGAAACAGACTTTCCCTTTGCCCTATACTCGCCAGCAGCATGCAATGGCAAGAAATTGAATAGAGACGTCGGGCACCACCATATTCGGGAACCTCGTCGTGCAAATACATCCAGATTCTCGATCACTGGGCAGACAACGACATCCCACAACTCTCTCAAAGCTTTCGTCAGCGCTGTTTGCTTCCCATTAGCATTAGCCTCTTTTTGAACTGCCTGCTGGAGTGCGAGCACCAATTTGGCGAGTTTCAACAAATCAGTAGGGAATTGGATGTTAATCAGGGGTTGTTTGTGCGTGATGATGATGGCATGGCAGGACAACTGGCTTGCAATAAGCACGATGATAGGCCCATCATGAGCTGCATCTTGAAGATCAGAGAATAGTGGGGGAAGGAGGAAGCGAGAAAAACCCTCAATCTTTTTGATCTCTTCTACAGCTCTATTCCAGTCCTCCACTAGACGTCTATACCGAGTTTCTTCTGCTTCCACATTGACTATTGGAGTCCCTTCTGAATAGTTCACAGGAGGTTTATCGAGGAGGGAGCTGAGGTCTCTGAACCTCTTCATTAGAGCCACTGCATGATTGCCGTGAGTATTGAGGTTGTCAAGAGGGGTACAGAGTCGTGTCATCTGGGTCCAGATGATGGTCCTGCCTTGTTCCAAGAACTCAACAGCGCGACACACATCACCACTACGAAGAGCACACAATGCAGCATCGATGGCAAGTGTACTTGGGAAGTCCTTCATGATATTGTGATGAGACGGTACAGAAGCCGTCTTAGACATGTAAGCATCCAGAAGTTGCATGGAAGTTGCATAAGCCTTCAGTTGAGTACCATGCCTGTGTTGATCAGCACGACGAACCCAAAGTAGACTTGCTTGCAGGCGGGATAGCAAGCCTCCAGAGACAACATTTGCTGCTGCCTTGAGATGATGCATGGCAGCATCCAGACTATTGGTACCTTCACCTGCACCGGTGTTGTCAAGGCCTGAACGATGGAACAACAGATAGACCTCAGCTAGTGACTGATGGGATAGTAATTGACCAGGATCATGTTGCGTCAACAGAGTCAATGCACAGTGTAGGCTCTCTCATGACTCGTCGAGATCTTCTCTATTGTGTTGGTGGTGAAAGCGGGTGAAGAGTTGGGTTGCGAGGTTATGCAATGACATGGACCAATCTGTGTGACTAAGAGGACATAAGGCCAACACTTCCCTCTGAAGTGCAACAGCCTGATTCAAATCTTCATCGTTGCCTTGGTGATCAAAGCGGGAGGAGAGCCGAAGCGCGAGGTTATTTAAGGACGTGGACCGACCTGTGTGACCGACTGGGCGTAAGGCCAGCGCTTCCCTGTAAAGTGGGATAGCCTGGTCCAAATCTTCATCATTGCCTCGGTGCTCAAAGTGGGAAGAGAGTTGAGACACAAGGTTATTTAATGACATGGACCAATCTGTGTGACCGACTGGATGCAATGCCAGCGCTTCCCTGTGAAGTGTGATAGCCTGATCCAAGTCTTCGTCATTGCCTCGGTGGTCAAAGCGGAAGGAGAGTTGATTCACAAGGTTATTTAATAACATGGACCGATCTGTGTGACCAACTGGGCACAAGGCCAGCACATCCCTGTAAAGTGCGATAACCTGATCCAAGTCTTCATCATTGCCTCGGTGATCAAAGCGGGAGGAGAGTTGAGTCCCGAGGTTACATAATGACTTGAAGCAATCTGTGTGACTGACCGGGCACAAGGCCAGGGCTTCCGTCTGAAGTGCAATAGCCTGGTCCAAGTCTTCGTCGTTGCCTCAGTGCTCAAAGCGGGAGGAGAGTTGAAGTGCGAGGTTATTTAATGACATGGACCGATCTGTGTGACCGATCGGGCGCAAGGCCAGCGCATCCCTGTAAAGTGCGATAGCCTGATCTAAATCTTCATTGTTGCCTCGGTTGTGGAAGCGGAAGGAGAGCTGATTCACGAGGTTATTTAATGACATGGTGTCACGAGTTCCAAATACAAATCATTATTTGTTCCTCAATTCCAAGTCCTTTAAGCGCCCAATCACAGTGCCTGTTCCTAAGAATATGTTTACTGTTGAAGAAGTTCCCATTATTGCGTCTATTGTAGAATTACCAGAGTCATGTGATTTATCGGACAATGCCGAAGTCGATGACATCATGCCACGCGACACTCTTGGAATGTTCCAGAGTCTTACTGCGGCTGCAGCACATGTTATGACATCATAATTATATATAGAATCATACGATACCTTTAATTATTCTGATTGGTTAGTTAGTTCATTCTCAGTTTCAATCTCAGTTTCAATATGTGTATATAGGTAGCTCGTTGTAGTCAGTAGTTCTTTAGTTCAAACCTCTTGTATCTCCAAGTGAGCAATACCAAGACGTACCTGCTGCCTACTTCTTCTGCATGATTATTCTGTTGTTTGAGTCCTAGTTTCTGCCCAGCATTAATTCGTTATTGGGTTGTGACACATGGACTGACCTGTGTGACCGACTGGGCGTAAGGCCAGCACTTCCCTGTGAAGTGTGATAGCCTGATCCAAGTCTTCGTCATTGCCTTGATGGTCACAACGGGAGGAGAGTTGATTCACAAGGTTATTTAATGACATGGACCGATCTGTGTGACCAATCGGGTGCAAGGCCAGCGCTTCCATGTGAAGTGCAATAGCCGATGCCTCGGTGGTGGAAGCAGAAAGAGAGCTGAGTGGCGAGATTACTTAATGATGCGGACCGATCTGTGTGACCGACCAGGCACAAGGCCAGCACTTCCTTGTAAAGTGCGATAGCTTGATCTAAGTCTTCGTTGTTGCCTCGGTGGTCAAAGCGGGAGGAGAGTCGAAGCACAAGGTTATTCAATGACATGGACCAACCTGTGTGGCCAACTGGGCGTAAAACCAGCGCTTCTGTCTGAAGTGCGATAGCCTGATCCAAGTCTTCGCCATTGCCTCGGTGGTCAAAGCAGGAGGAGAGTTGAGTCGCAAGGTTATTTAATGACATGGACCAATCTGTATGACCAACTGGGCACAAGGCCAGAGCATCCCTGTAAAGTGTGATAGACTGATCCAAATCTTCGTCGTTGCCTCGGTGGTCAAAGTGGGAGGAGAGTTGATTCGCTTATTTAATGACTTGGACTGATCTATGTGACCAACTGAGCGCAAGGCCAGTGCTTCCTTGTGAAGTGCGATAGCCTGATCCAAGTCTTTGTCATTGCCTCGGTGGTCAAAGTGGGAGGAGAGTTTATTCGCGAGGTTATTTAATAACTTGGACCGACCTGTGTGACCAACCGGGCACAAGGCCAGTGCTTCCGTCTGGAGTGCGATAGCCCGATCCAAGTCTTCGTCATTACCTCAGTGGTGGAAGCAGAAGGAGAGCTGAGTGGCGAGATTACTTAATGACTCAAACCGACATGTGTGGCCGACTGGGCACAAGGCCAGTGCTTCCGTCTGAAGTGCGATAGCCTGATCCAAATCTTCATCATTGCCTCGGTGGTGGAAGTGGAAAGAGAGCTGAGTGGCAAGATTACTTAATGACACGGACCGATCTGTGTGGCCAACCGGGCGCAAGGCCAGCGCTTCTGTCTGAAGTGCAATGGCCTGATCCAAATCTTTGTCATTGCCTCGACACTCAAAGCGAGTTTGCAACATTAAAGCCAGATTGACTAGCAATTGACCTCGGTCAGTATGTCCAGTGTTGTAGTATCCCAGCGCATCATAATGAAGGGATATCACTTCATCTAAGGCACATGGTTCATCTCTCTGCAAACATCACTCTGCTCGATGAACAAGTTGATTTGGCGATAACGGAAGCATGGATGGGGCAGGCTGCTCCCGCTGAAGATCATTTGCATCCATGCATCCATGCAGAGCAGATGTTTCGATTACCATCAAAGCTGCCCTGCAGATATGGCTGTTGGCGTGGCAGACATTAAGTACCTCGCTCAGTAATCCTTCAGCCATGTGAGCATTTGTTGGAAATCCCTGTTTTGCAAAGCGAGAGAGTAGAGAAATGGCAAGATGGAGTTGGGTGGTGGGTCGGTCTGGATGACCAGTAGGACGCAAATCAAGTGCGTCTTGAAAAAGAGAGATGGGTATGTTGAAGTCGAGATAAGTGTTAGCTTGGCAATTAATAAACTTTGCGGTGGCTAGATTAAACAGTGCCGCAGGGCGGTAGGAAAGATCCGCAGGACAGAGATCCAAGGCCCGTTCAAAGTGATTTACGGATTGGTCCAGATCCGTACTGTTCTGCATCCTGCGGTATCATGTGAGAAGACGATGTCCAGCATCCGTACTTAGTGCTAACACATTCATATTGTGAGATGTAAGCTACATGTTACACCAATCAGCATCAGGATGCCAGACTGCATTGATCACTCATGATAGTAAGGGAATGAAGAACTTCACTGTCGTTTTGATCAGAAAGTCCTTGCCCCACCGTCATGAACAGTGAAGTACAAGCGGATATGACGTCCTCCTGCTTTGGCTAAAAGATTATGGCTATAATACTTGTGAGCATCCATGAGGCGTTATGTGCAATAGACATAGACAATACTGACAATGCGACCCTTCGCTGCAATCCAGTAACCCTCTGACAGAGATCTCGAATGTGCAGAGGAGATCTCCGCAACAGAGCATGGGACCCAATTCAAATAAGGCATATACGCTGACCCGAACTTTAGAAGATGGATCGCACGGCCTCGAGTCTTTTTCAATACCTGCAAGACAGACGGGGTTAAGGACCACTTACAGAAGAATGCGCTCGTGCCATTCGATGACAGCCTGGTTTATGTGTATAGATGTATTGCTTGTTATGCTCGACCGGCCAATTATGTAATAGAAGTTCGTCATCCAATTCAAAACCTACTACATACAGTAACATGGTCACCCTGCACAATGAGCCCGTAACCATTCAACGCTTATCAGGGAGCACTGTGACTGCGTTTACGGGCTCCTGATGATCTTCAAAAACTTGAAGGGCGTTGGACATGTGCTGTGACATCTTATAGGCACAGTTGAGGAGGAATCGTGGGTATCTTTTGAATTTTCCTAAGGTGCAGAGGTGCGAGTATTGTACGCTGTTGTGCTACCTCATTTCCATGGACGCCCAAGGCACGAGGCATTTCGCCATCACCGTTGCAGCAAGGATGTCCTTATTGTCATAACCGCCTTCCTCGATCGTACACACTCCCACTGCTTCTGCACTGCGTACATGCGTCCGACTCTCCACAATTTCCAGAATGTATCCTTCGCATTTGATTGCGATAGTGCAGTTGCTCTATCCAGGCCCTCGCACACTATTTATCCTGGATGGCCTAGTGAACCTTGCGCTGTCTTGTGTTTAGCAGTCACTCCAGCACATCGCCATGTAACCTACCTGAGCGCAGGCACATATATCACCTGTTCGCCCCACCCACTCCCAAGATTTGTGTGTGCCGGATGCAGTCAAATTCTCTCTTCTCTGGTCTCAAGCTCCTGACAACGGAGTTGTTACTTTCACATCTATGTTTTATTCAAGAACTATGCGATCATCTTTCCTAAAAGCGTTCACAACCCTGCTTCTAGCGGTATGCTCATGGTTCACATCAGGCTCCAGCTTCGCAACTCCAGGTTCAACTGGTTTCACTTTCCTTGTTCGTTAATCCCTTCTTAAACCCATCCTCATTGGAATTCTACACTATAGAACCAGTGGTTCAACACAGTCATCGATGTTACTGACCTTCGCCACGCTCTCACCGCAGCGTGAGCTATGTATTCCGTTGTTGAATGGCAATCAGTAGTAAAGAGGATTCGATTACGTTGGTCCAGGTTTGAAGTACGCTCCCCAACAAGTAACACCTTGACCTCTACGCTACTTAATAACTACGTTGGCTGCAAGATACAAATGAATTGGAATGTGAGCATACAAGCAAAAAGAACAAACTACTAAACATTCAAAAATATTCTCGAGAAATACTTCTTCACACCTTCTGCACCATGTACGATCGCCCCAATCACTCCATCCGGTCGTATCACAAACACCCTCGTCTGGCCAGCTTCCACGAGGTAAGCCGAATAACCATGACCCTCCTTATCAACAAAAACGAGGTCAGCAGGAGATGTAACAGACGTCACTGATGCGGATGAAGGCAGAACGACTGCCGATCGCACAACGCTTGTGTCATATGCCTCCAGCGCACCCAAGATCGGGGCAGCATCTGCATGACTCGGCGCGAGCACAAGCACGGTGTGATACCAAGGTCTATAGAGAACAAAAAGTGTCTTCACGTCAGATTCTCCGTCTCCCACCTGGACCAGATTTGGTGCATCAGGTGCCCGGTCTCCAGCCTCTAGGTGCTCCTCGTCAAGCTCCCCGTACGCATTGATAGGCTTCCCTGGAATCGCAAACTCGTCGAGAACGATGTCGCTGAATCGGTAATTGATCCCAAGCATGAAAAGAATGGGGCTTCGTACTGCGGTCATGCTGCCCGTCTGTACTACGCGGTTCAGGATGGTGGTGGTCATCTCAAGCATCTCGGAGATGACAGGCAGACGCTCGGCATTATACGTCTCAAGAAGAGACTTGTCGGCGAGTCCTTTCTCGACGAGCGCAAGTTTCCAACCTAGATTGAACTGGTATACGGTCAGTGGTGTCATACGTACTGCATTTGCAAGACTTACAGCATCCTGTATACTTGAATTGAGTCCCTATTCATAGATGGATGAGTAGGCATCGGAATTTGATCAGAACGTACATACCTGACCACCGGTTGGACTGTGGACACTGAAAATATGCCAGAATCAGGTTTGAAAGAAGGCGCTCAAAGATAGACATACTGAGCAGCATCTACGTAGACTTCCATCAGCACAGGTACATCAATCAAAAGTAGAACCACATACCGCCCGCAACAAAGACTCGGCCCTCGCTGAACTTGTTTACCATGCGGATGTTGGCCCTAAAGTAATAAAAAATGAACATTTAAAACGCATCTGTGCAACACGATCAAACACACCTGAACTCGCTCACCCAGACGAGCTTGTTGAACGTAATCTCAGTAGGTATCACTGATGTGATGATCTCGAAGATCAACTCCTCGCTCTGAGCGACCTTTGTCAGGTCTATATCATTATCAGCGATGACAAATTGCCAGCCATCTTCGCCAATTTCATCTGTTGGACGTAATGAGACGCTGTGCATCGTCAACATACAAGCCTCAAGAGCAGAAACCGAACATACCCTCGCTTAAAGGTCCCAAACCGGTGCCAATACTTTCAAGACAATATCAGGAGCACTCCTTCATGGAGTAAGTAGAAATCGGACGCACTGCTCTGTCAAGACCAACGCCATGTAAACGAATATCTCCCATGACCATTCGGATATCGTCTCTAGTCTCGCCCAAGAATGTAAGCCCGAGCTGTTTGCGCACGACGCCTGCAAACCATAACTCAGACTTATCCTCCAGCATTTGAATTTGATCGCAACTCACCTTTAGCACCATCAGCGCCGACCATCCACTTGGTGTGGAAAGTCTCCAATATACCGTTCTTTTCTAGAACAGCCGTGACACCTTCATCGGACTGCTCGAACGAACGCAATTCGGTGCTCATCTCAACAAAGCACGAGAATTTCTCTAGGTGACGTCGCAGAATCACATCTAAGAGTTGTTGACCTATTAGCTTTGGAGTGTGCTAAAGTACAAAAAAATCGTGATTCGTCAGCATAGCTGCTTGAGAGGCGACGCCGAAAGGTTCTGCATAGCACGTACGAATGGTATCGCAGGGGTAGGTTCCGCATGCGGCATCATCAAAGATTCTATCGCGACTTCCATTGTCCCGGGCTTGTAGGAACGGTGTGTGGAAACGGGTTTCGCCAGCTCGTTGACTTCTGGAACATTCAGAAAGTTGAAGAGTTCGAAGGAGCGTGGCTGGATTATGCATGAAATGAGACTATAGGAAATTAGAGAAATGGTTTCATGACACACCCAGATTCCAGGACCACGCTGTCCGATTCGAGGGTTCGGATCTTTGTCGATGATGCGAACTGGTATGCCATTCTGGAGGAGGGTTAACGCTGCTACCAGACCTGCTGGCCCAGCGCCTACCTAAGAAAGAGGAACTAAGCTGAGGGAGGAACCATGCATCATAAGCGGTTCACTTACGACTAGCACGGGAGGACCAGTAGAATTCATGTGTAGAGTTCAGAGGTTTTTGGATCAGAGTCACCACATCTTATAATATAAGGGACAGCCGATCACAGCAGCTGGTAACCATACGTCCAACTGTGCGTTCCGTATCAGTGCCGCAGCTGATAGAAAGGAACCACCGGCGTTACTCTGCATCCCCGTTAGACGATATGTCAAAACGCTCATTTTAAGTGACCCCATACGTCCGGGGACACGGGTTTATCTGATGTCTGTTCCCGAGTTTAGTGGTGGGGCTTACTAAGCTACAGGAACGACAGACTTCGAAATTTCAAATTTCAACCATAGTACTACGTGCTGGACGTCTATCTTTTCTGTTCCTAGTAGTACTGCATTCCTTCAGATTTCACTTCTCTCTGCCTTTATATATATCTCATTGCTACCGCTGCCTCATCTTACTCTCCTTGTCCCTGCTTTGATGTTGTTTCCACCACTTCAACAACCACTCGCGTGCACCTTCCACTTGCATGCCTAGTTGCTACTCGCTTGTAAACCTATCTGCTTTTGTAGATCCTGATTGAATTCACTACCCTTTTGTTGAATGCCTACAAAACCTTAACGTCCTTACATGAAAAGCCTATCGAAAGTCTTGCATCTCCCTCTCCAAACTCTTTGCCAACGTATTCCCCAATGAAACGACCTTCCAATCTATTTCCCGCAACAACCAACCACTTCTCTCGCTTCTCCCAGTGCGTCAGTAAGTGTGCTGAATGATTATGTAGATTTATGACATTGCCCCTGCAAGGCTTCATGCTCCCTTCGGCAATGGGCTATGCCCGATTGATCACGATTAGCGCCTCAAGAAGCCGGTCAACGTGTTGGCCATGCTTTGGTCAAGGGTATTCAGCGCATTCCAGAGGTTCTCTCTTCTCCCACCTACTTCTTGCACCCTCACTTCGCTTACAGAAATCGACTACTCGTGATGAATAGAGATCATAGGGCAGCTCCTCCTCCGGAAGCCTGCGAGCCAACCGTTCGTGAAAGCTCAGTATGTAGTCTCAAGGGCTTTCTCACTGTGGATCAGCGCTCATGGCTGCTTCTGATGCTTTCTTCGCCCAGAGCCGACCCCATGGTCGAGTCAAGCAGACTATTCAGAAATTTACGAAACGCGTCACCAAGAAGCTTCCTGTGAGTAGAGTGCCAGGTTTCCTGATTCTGAATATGACTGACATTGTGCAGAAACTCTCCAAGGCTTCCCGTAGCAGCATTCCTGCGGTACAGAATGCGGACCTTCGAGATACTTCGTTGAATCAGAGCATCCAGGTAGGTGCTCGAATTCCTAATCTCAGTTCATTTTTTTTATCCGAGGCGCCCAGGACATGCCACATAAACTTCCTTTCACGCACGACAAGCATCCCACCCCAGCTGAAAATCCCAGCAGCCAAGGCGCATCCGGAGAACCCGCTTCGAAGGTACTTGCATCGAATTATATGGTTCTCGTCTCTGAATTTTGTTGGTCGCGCAGGTTGTCGACATCTCCTCTGGCGTCGAGGAAACTCCTGGTCCCAAATCACCTGATGCTGAACTTCAGGGTGCCCACGAGGCTTCAGAACATATGAAAACATTCGGGGGGCGTGCGCAGTCTGTGACATCCGCCGCCGCGAACGCCCCAGCTGGTCTCGCTGCTGCAGATGATTTCCAGACCAATTACCTCCAACCCCTGAAGATTTTCGACAGCGTCATTGCCAAGATCGCAGATGTATGGAATGCTTCCCTTGATCGGTAGCGAACTAATCAGGTTATAGGTGCATCCATATGCAAAGATGGCGTTAGGCGTGCTTTCTGCCGCAGCCAAAGTACGTTCTATGTTGCCCGTGGATCTACTTCCCACTCAGAAGTCGCGATTCTTTGCAGATTATTCTTGCTCAAGCGAAGCGGGACGAGTCGATGGATCGTCTTCTCCAGAAATTAGATGAAGTCTATGGCTTCATTACCAGAGACGAGAATCTTTCCAAGGTCGAATCGATGCATAATGTCATCGGAAAGATTGCTCAGCAGACTCTTGAGTGCGCCCGTTTCATCAGGGAATACTCAGAGACGAAGAGCTTCTGTGAGTCTTCGGACTATCGCATGCGCACACGAATCTGATACTTATTATAATAATAGGGAAGAGGGTTGGTAAAAACATCATCAAGGAAACGGATGATATCATCACACAGTACAACGCCGCCTTGGACAGCCTTATGCAGCAATTTCGGGATCAAGCGCTTCAGGACGCAGCTATCTTCGTCCAGTTTGCGGGTAAGGATTCATACATACCTCTGACTTTAAATCTACTCACACCATCTCAGGCGATACCCTGGATCTTGGGGATATCGCTTATGCAAAGGGTGCAGGACTAAATACCAAGAAACAGTGCCTACCAGGGACGCGCAAGGAGATTCTTTCCCAAATTACGGACTGGATCAACGACAGCGGAGATGCTGCTAAACGTATGATGTGGCTATCTGGCCCAGCGGGCAAGGGCAAATCAGCCATCGCGCACACGATCACCAACTGGTTCGAGGAAACGGGAGGTCTCGGTTCATGTTTTTGTTTCGATCGACACAGAGAAGCAGACCGTCGCCATGAAAAGATTTTCTCCACCATCGCGCGCGATCTTGCTGATCGTGATCCGGGAATGAAACGAGCGTTAGCAAATGCAGTCAAGAATGCGACCTCGCTCAAGAATACGACGGACGTCATCCAGCAGTGGCGCAAGCTTCTCATGGAACCGCTGAAGAAGTTTCCTGGGTCAAGCGTAGGGCCTGTCTTGATCGTGATCGATGCGCTGGACGAGAGCGGCGGAATAGAGACGCGGCAGGACCTTCTCCGGATACTTGCGGGTAAACTTCAGAACCAAGGACTTCCCCAAATCACCGAACTCCCTTCCAACTTTCGGATTCTCGTCACCTCTCGCCCACTTCATGATATCGAAAAGGAGTTTGAAGGTGCTGATCATATTCTCCGGTTGTCCATGGACGCTATTCCAACAGACGTAGCGGAACACGACATTCGCGCTTTTGTATCCAACAAACTACAAGGGTTGCCGAATTTTGGGCGCAAGCAGTTTGCAAACCTCGCTGCGAAAGCCGATGGGCTTTTCGAGTGGGCACGTCTTGCATGCGAATACATCAAGGAAGACCGTCCCGGGATAAATCGAAGGTCTCGCTTTGAGACCGTCGTGAATCGCGATCCTGGGAAGTGGGCAAACAAGCTGTATGACATGTATCGGCTTATTTTGACAGAGATCTGGCAACGGGATCGGTATGACGAAGTCGAGTACCAGGAAGGACTGGCGGAGTTTCGTTCCGTGATGGGACAAATACTCGGCATGGTCGAACCTCTGCCTTTGAATTCCCTCACCGCCATGCGGAACTGTTTTCCAAACCACAGCAAAGATTACCAAGTGGACATCGTACAGCATATGGGATCCCTCCTCAGTGGCACAACGGACCCACGTATTCCCGTCAGACCCCTTCACGCATCCTTTCAAGAGTTTCTCGGAGACAAGTCATCCAGCGGAGACTTTTTCGTTGAGATCACGAAGGCGCAACAACACGACCTCGCATTCGCGTCACTACGAGTGATGGAAGATGGCCTTCGCTTCAATATCTGCGATTTGAAATCATCGTACCTCCCTAATTCCCGAGACACAGAGCTGCCTCAACGAGTTAAAACATCCATTTCCCTACATCTCTCCTATTCCTGTCGATATTGGGCTACGCACATCCAGAAAACGGACTTTGACGACGAGCTAGCAAGGGAAATAAGATCACTCTTCGAGGACGAGAGACTGATGTTCTGGATCGAAGCACTCGGGCTTCTCAGTGCAATCAGTGGTGCAGTTATCGTACTTCCACGCGTTGCCAAGTGGTTGCAGGTGAGCACATGCCTACGAGGCAGAGTCAGACGAACAACTCATACATGAATACAGGGCCATTCTGGATACGAGGATGTGCGGTCCGCCACGATGGATGTACAAAGATTCATGCAAGTGTTTGGCGGGATGATTTTGCACAGCACACCCCATCTGTACTTATCAGCGCTCCCGTTCTCTCCCGTCAACTCTATCATTGCCACCAAATTTACGGCTAGGTTTCCGAATAGCCTTCGTCTGGCATCCGGCCGGGATTTGAACTGGACGGTTGTGGAGGCCATAATGAGGGGGCACACTGGCGCGGTTTTGTCAGTCTCGTTCTCACCGGATGGTACTCGCATCGCGTCTGGTTCATACGATAAGACTGTGCGGCTGTGGAATGCAGCGACGGGAGAGCCATTGGGTGAGCCCTTGAAGGGGCACACTCGCGCGGTTTTGACAGTCTTGTTCTCACCGGATGGTACTCGCATCGCGTCTGGTTCGGACGATAAGACTGTGCGGCTGTGGAATGCAGCAACGGGAGAGCCACTGGGTGAGCCCTTGAAGGGGCACGCTGGCGCGGTTTCCTCAGTCTCGTTCTCACCGGATGGTACTCGCATCGCGTCTGGTTCAGACGATAAGACTGTGCGGCTGTGGAATGCAGCAACGGGAGAGCCATTGGGTGAGCCCTTGAAGGGGCACACTGGCGCGGTTTCCTCAGTCTCGTTCTCACCGGATGGTACTCGCATCGCGTCTGGTTCATCGGATAAGACTGTGCGGCTGTGGAATGCAGCGACGGGAGAGCCATTGGGTGAGCCCTTGAAGGGGCACGCTGGCGTGGTTTTGTCAGTCTCGTTCTCACCGGATGGTACTCGCATCGCGTCTGGTTCGGACGATAAGACTGTGCGGCTGTGGAATGCAGCGACGGGAGAGCCATTAGGTGAGCCCTTGAAGGGGCACACTGGCGCGGTTTCCTCAGTCTCGTTCTCACCGGATGGTACTCGCATCGCGTCTGGTTCGGACGATAACACTGTGCAGCTGTGGAATGCAGCGACGGGAGAGCCATTGGGTGAGCCCTTGAAGGGGCACACTGGCGCGGTTTCCTCAGTCTCGTTCTCACCGGATGGTACTCGCATCGCGTCTGGTTCATATGATATCACTGTGCGGCTTATGAAAGTGCTGCCATCCCTGGAGTCAACGAAGCTGGATCCCTTTACATCTCCACTGCATCAAAGTACCGCATCTCCCACTCAAGAAAATCATATTACGCCAACATACACTTGTAACCATCCCCCCATTTCCTTCTCGCCCTGCCTGAAACACGCCTTGCCCAACCCCGCTGACTTGCTCGAACCCGCCTCTCATCATCATTCTGATTCAACCCCTTTCTTGCTGCAGCCTGATGGGTGGATCATGGGACCCAGCCATGAGCTTCTTTTCTGGGTACCTCCCGCTTCCCGACACCCGTTTTATTCTCCTGACACTGCAATGGTGATCCCGAGAGGAGGCGTTGAGCTTGATTTGAGCTGCATGACACATGGGACGCGCTGGTCGAGTTGCCGAGATGCGTGAGTTTTTAGTCTTTATCATCCGTCCTCGCAGTTGCTGACGTCAATCCCTCCAGCTCCATGTAACGACGATTTTATTGCTGCAATAGCGAGTGTACTATTTGATTCTATGATTCCCTTCCCATTTTATACCTACCACCCATCTTGAATTTATAGTTGTCTGACCGAACGATAGACTGAACAGCAGACTGGGCGAACCTACAATGTTGCTGCTGATTCGTGAGAGCACGTAGCGAAACCTAATTTCATCACATACACCCTTAGACATCATGCTGATGTGTCATAGGTGCATATTCCTGTTTTCATGTCATCACCGTCAGACTTTCCAACTCGACGTTCTCGTGACAGCCAGTCTGGATCGAAGTGTATGTGATGAAGCGGCTACAACCTCACACGTACAGAGATATAAGGACGTGCTGATCAACTTATTCTGACGAGATCATTGAACTCAAGTGCTCTGTGCGTCTCTATTTGTAAATTTCTAAGCGGTGCCTGAAGACTGGGATCATACTTGGAATGATATCCTTGTGTGCGTTTTCCTGTCCCTCGTCATACTTCTTTATCGGGTTCTTTGATTGTTTGTCCAACGATAGATACACTGCTGACAACATTATGCGTGTAGTTACAAGGAAAAGATGTCTATACGAACCACCGACCTGCTTTCAACTCCTAGAGAAAGCGGAAACAAAGCAATGATCTCTACGCTACTTAACAACTACGTTGATGGTAAAATACGAACGAGTTGAGATGTAAGGGCACAAGCAAAAAGAACTAAACATCCAAAAATATTCCGGAGAAATACTTCTTCACGCCTTCTGTACCATGTACGATTGCCCCGATCACTCCGTCCGGCCGTATCACAAACACTCTCGTCTGGCCAGCTTCCACGGTGTAAGCCGAACAAGCATAGCCCTCCCGATCAACAAAACCGAAGTCAGCAGGGGATGCAACAGGCGTCACTGATGCGGATGAAGGCAGAACGACTGCCGATCGCACAACGCTTGTGTCATATGCCTCCAGCGCACCCAAGATCGGGGCAGCATCTGCATGACTTGGTGCGAACACAAGCACAGTGTGATACCAAGGTCTGTAGAGACTGAAAAGTGTCTTCACGTCGGATTCTCCAGCTCCCACCTGGACCAGATTTGGTGCATCAGGTGCCCGGTCTCCAGCCTCTAGGTGCTCCTCGTCAAGCACTCCATACGCATTAATAGGCTTCCCTGGGATTGCAAACTCGTCGAGAACGATGTCGCTGAATCGGTAATTGATACCAAGCATGAAAAGGATGGGGGTTCGTGCGGCGGTCATGCTATCTGTCTTTAATGCCTGGTGGAGAATCGTGGTGGTCATCTCAAGCATCTCGGAGATGACAGGCAGACGCTCGGCATTATACGTCTCAAGAAGAGACTTGTCGGCGAGTCCCTTTTCGACGAGCGCAAGCTTCCAACCTAGATTGAACTGGTATACGGTCAGTGGTGTCATACGTACTGCATTTGCAAGACTTACAGCATCCTGTATACTTGAATTGAGTCCCTATTCATAGATGGATGAGTAGGCATCTGAATTTGAGCAGAATGCACACACCTGACCACCGGTTGGACTATGGACGCTGAAAATATGTTAGAATCAGTTTGGAAAGAAAGCGCTCGAAGATAAACATACTGAGCAGCATCTACGTAGACTTCCATCAGCACAGGTACATCATTCAGAAGTAGAACCACATACCGCCCGCAACAAAAACTCGGCCCTCGCTGAACTTGTTTACCATGCGGATGTTGGCCCTGAAGTAAACAAATGAACATTGGAAACGCATCCATGCAACAAGATAAGACACACTGAACTCGCTCACCCAGACGAGCTTTTTGAACGTAATCTCAGTAGGTATCGCTGATGCAATGATCTCGAAGATCAGCTCTTCGCTCTGAGCGACCTTTGTCGTGTCCAGATCATTGTCAATGATGACAAATTGCCAGCCATCCTCGCCAATTTCGTCTGTTGGGCGCAATGAGACGCTGCCCAGCGTCAATATACACATCCCCAACCTTCAAGAGTGGAGACTGGACATACCCTCGCTTAAAGGTCCCAAACCGATGCCAATACTTTCAAGACAGTATCAGGAGCACTCCTTTATGGATTAGGTAGAAATGGGACGCACTTCCCTATCAAGACCAACGCCATGTAAACGAATATCTCCCATGACCATTCGGATATCGTCTCTAGTCTCGCCCAAGAATGTAAGCCCGAGCTGTTTACGCACGATGCCTACAAACCATAACTCAGACCCATCCTACTGCATTTGAATTTGACCGCGTTTTACCTCTAGCACCATCAGCACCGATCATCCACTTAGTATTGAAAGTCTCCAATATGCCGCTCTTTGATAGAACAGCCGTGACACCTTCATCGGACTGCTCGAACGAACGCAATTCGGTGCCCATCTCGACAGAGCACGAGAATTTCTCTAGGTGGCGTCGCAAAATCACATCTAGGAGTTGCTGACCTATCAGCTTTGGAACGTGCTACAATAGGAGAAAATCATCAGCATGACTGCTTGAGAGAGATGGTTCTGTATCGTACGTACGAATGGTATCGTAGGGGTAGGTTCCACATGCTGGGTCGTCAAAGATTCTGTGGCAAATTCCATTGTCCCGTGCTTGTAGGAACGGATTGTGGGGAAGGGTTTCGCCAGCTCGTTAACTTCTGGGACATTCAGGAAGTTGAAGAGTTCGAAGGAGCGTGGCTGGATTATGCATCAAATGAGACTGTAGGAAATTAAAGAAGTGGTGTCATAACACACCCAGATTCCAGGACCACGCTGTCCGATTCGAGGGTTGGGATCTTTGTCAATGATGCGAACTGGTATACCGTTCTGGAGGAGGGTTAACGCTGCTACCAGACCTGCTGGCCCAGCGCCTACCTAAGAAAGGGGAACTAAGCTGAGGGTAACCATACATCATATGGCGTTCACTTACGACTAGCACGGGAGGACGAGTAGAATTCATGTGTAGATTTCAGAGGTTTTTAGATCTGAATAATGGACAGTCACCAGATCTTATAATATAGAGGATGGCCAATCACAGCGAAACAGGTAAAAGTGTGCATCCCGTATCAGTGCCGCAACTGATAGCAAGGAATTGCCAACGTTACACGTCCCTGTCGGTGCGATGGGGGAGCCATTGATGTCTGTTCCCGAGTTATGCAAACTGACGTGTATCTGCCATTAGTATTTCACCTCAAAAGTGCGGTGCACCGACTCATCTGCCCCGTGTCTCTACAAACAATTACAAACAACCCTGTCGAGTTATCAGATTGATTTGTAATAACAGTCTAACCTTGTATTCCATAAAGACAAAAGATGGAGTATTTATAACGCATGTCATACTAATCCATATATAAGGAGCCAGCACCTTTATCGTAAATTCAAACTTGTAAATCATCGTATCATAAATCGTGAATATCACCCCCTCACACTCCCCTGTTCACTAACATACGCCATCCTCCCAAACCCACTACCACCCCCACTCACTCGCGTATCCCTCCCCTCCACCCCTCACATACCCCTCCCCACCACCACCCCCACCACCACCACTCCCACTCCGTCCATACGACCCCACCCTCGGCGTCCCACCCGCACTCCCATTCAAAGCCATCCCCACAGAATACCTCGTCCCACTCCCAGGAGCAGTAGCAGTATACAAACTCGCCGCACTCCCCGCAGCCCTATACTTCCTCTTCGGCGTCTGCAACCCCGCATCGCTACTAGTATCACTGGAGTCGTCATCCGACTCAGGCCCAAACTTCTGAGAGGGAGGGGGAATCACTACTGGTTCGTTCGGGTCGTCGTGTATCGTTTTGGGGCTGCACGGGACTACGATCGTGTTGCTGGCGTATTGGTGGTTGGTGGGTCCGCTGTATTGGTGATGACCGTGCTGGGAGGAGCTGGCAGGTGCTGCTACGCTGCTGCTTGGTGTGTATGAACGCGTGGTCGGTGGACCGGTGGGTACGAACCCAGGTGGGAGGCCTGGAGGTAAGTTTGAATACATCGTGCTACCTGTAGGCGGTATAGGCACCATCGACGGTGTCACGTGTGCTGGTGATGGAGAATACGACGACGATGGTGGTGGTGGTGGTAATGGGCGGTCAGCGTCTGCGGGACTAAGGAAGTACGGGCGCTGCCCAGATGGTGTTACCTGCGACATGTTGGATGCGGGACGTGACTAGAGTTGTGCCGCGTTTGTCAATGCTCAATAGTCTGAGAAGAGAGGCTACTCACGGGCGGTTGGATCGTAATGTTGACGGTACCAGATGATGATGAACTAATGGGACGCGTTGATTGTTGTGCTGGTGATCTAGCTACTGATATAGCAGACGGTGCTTTCTGCAGCCGAATCTGTTCTCTAGACGAACGCGGGGCTGGCATAGAAACATGTACGAAGCCACCCTGCAACTCGATCAGCACGCACGCCACAAATGAGTTTTGTCGAGTAAAACACACCTCGTCTGCTTCTTCTTCTACACTCGCTCTCATGCTCCGGCTACTAGGCGTACTCTGCTCACGTACGCTCGTAACCTCGGGAATGACACTCAGCCCGCTAGATTGATGGTGCTCCGGAGGACTAAGCAGCTCTAGTTCCGACGTCCTCGTAGAGGTCATACTTTCCGTACCCGAAGCTCTCCGACGTACCGTTCGTTGGTTACGAGAGTCCGAAGCAGGGACCGAATATAACGGCGCGCCAGGAGATCGAGGCTCTGGTACCATAAGTACAGGATCTTGGGGTAGGGAGCGCAAAGGTGTGTCAGGACTTGAACAAATGGGGGAGGGCGTACGACGCGAGCGCTGAAACTCATGTGGAGGTGGCAAGCGGATGATGAGAGAAGAATCAGCTTCTGGGATCCAACCATCTGAAGGAATATCGTCCATCGCGTTGGCAGGGGAGAACATGGTACTGCGCGCAGATGAGGTCTGGGGTGGACGTTGCTGTTGCTGTGGTTGTGGTTGAGGTTGAGGTTGAGCGCGGGGGCGTGTAGGCGTGCGAGGACGTGTAGGCGTAAGAGGACGTGATTGTTCGCTGGAAGTGCGCGATACCGGCTCTGGCCTGAATCGCGGGGTATTCTGCGCCTCAACAGAGCCACCTCTCGAATCGCTACCTTCATCGTCACTGGGGGCAGCAAAGTAGCGGTCTAGGACACGATCTGCTGTTACTCGACCTTGTGCATAACCCTTTGTCCGCCCATGCACGTACCCCATATCCTTCCCCATCTCCAGTCCTTCCTGGAGACCCTGTTTACGGCCCTCCTCACGAGCGACTTCAATCATCTTCTCCTCCATCAATTTGCGCAACCTAGTCCTTGATTTCGCAGCGCTCTCCTCTGCATCCCTCCTCCTGTCTTCGACGTCCTTCATCACGCCCTGCGCACGGAAAATCTCCTTCTGGGCTTGTTCGAGAGCGTCTTTGTATAGTCTTAGCTCTTCTGTCAGTCGTACAATCTCGCTTTGAGAGACTACGCGCGCATCGTTGGCCTCTTTGAACCGTAGGCATGCTTCCTTTGCTTTAAACTCTGCATTATCAGCACGGTCCTGTTCGAATGAGAGTTGTGAATTCAAGAGAGAGACGTCTGCGCGGAGATCGCGCACGGCAGATTCTGCATCTGCGAGGAGCTGTAGAACTTCACGGTTTGTCGGAGGTTGCGAACTAGTGCGAGAGATAGGCTTCGAAGCTTTTGAGGCGGTAGAATGGTGTGATTGGGAACGTGCGAGGGGTGGTATCGGGAGTGGTGTGTTTGATTTGTCGCCACTTGTGTTACTGGGACCTGCTCGGGGTGTGTTTGGTGGTTCGCTCATGGGACTAGATGGAGCGATGGTTAGTCTAGTTCTGTCTTGATGAAAGATTCACATACATGCACAGACTAGGACGAGGTTATGAGGAAGTGTGCCAAGGGTTAATACATGGCAGTGACTCTACAACTTATTACTACTTTTAAAGTGTCCATTGTATCACTGCTTTGACATTACATAACCAATTTTATATCAACCATGTCAGACTGTCACGTCCGGTTGAGACTCTGTGATTTCCTTGAACTCAAAGAGTATCAACTCATCGACATGGCCCCTTCATTCACGCGGCCACTGGCGACCACGGCCCGATGCATGTCGATAACCCGATCAAACATCGACATGACAAGCGCCTGTATGCGTTTTCATTGTCTTTCGATGTCGGCCTCAACAAACATCAAGCGTTCAAGAATCAACGCAGCACAGACAACTCAGCGGTCAAGTTTGATCTCATCCTTGGACTCACCTGGCGCGTTGGTGAATACATTTCCCCAGCAGTATCAGTCAAACTCACCGGAGCTAGGTTACGGAACATTCAACGCGTGTTTTTCGCCAATCGGCCCTGCCGCTGAGAAGCCTGGGCAATGGGTTGGACAATACCATCGTCAAGGAAAACATAGATCCGAAATCCCTGCTGGTCCTAAAGCAACATACCATCAACAGATAACAACTTCGGAAGTCAACCTTCTTGTCTTCTGAATCGCAGCACCTACCGATATCCGGTTTCCAACTCGAGTGCGATGTACGCGTGCCGTGGCATGGGAAGCTCATGCATTTATCCATGGAGTTGATATATCACTCAACACGTGCATCAGACGAAGCATTTCGAGGTGTCCGCGTCCATTTTCGCGAGACATGTGCTGTCATGCGATTCAACAGCAAATGAGCATTTGTATGATTTTGATGATCTTCGGCTGGGATGCCGGTCCGACTGTGCTCCGCATGCGAGATGCGACTCTTTAACACCGCTTCTCTTTCTTCCTATTCGTTGGCACTGCTCGCATATCTATCCCACGGACCCCCAACTTGCGAATCTCCTCACAGACCTCGGCGTATAAGATCCAGCCAGCGGATAGTTCAAAACAATAACCCCCGTATCTGCAACGCAGAACTCTCATCAAAAGACATCTTACTTGGGTTCGTCGGGCGATCCATAATCGAGCGTTGTATACGCATCAGTTGACAGAGATTGCGTTCACCAAGATGCAGCGCCCGTAACCAGTCCTCATCGTTTACATCTATCCTTCAGGTCTGAAACAAAAATAGGCGAAGGCGCTGGAATCGCTTATCTTGTTATTCTCAAGCGGAGAGTATGCATATAGCGTCCTCCACATTTATGTATCCTGAAGCACTCGTTGATCTTCCAGGCAATATCGACTTATCTGGTTTCTTTGGTGGTCATAGTCATGTCGAATTGACAGAATTGGTGGTGCAGAAATCTAGCTGTATGGCTGGCGGTCTGTGTTTCCAATTCTGCAATGACGATGATCGAATTGAAAGGGAGAGCATGAAGGTGAAGAATGATGACCGTCAGTGACAGTCTAGGCACTTACTGGTATGTACAGGGTTGGAAACATTTGACACCGATCATCCTCGGTGACCTCGCTCCTCGCTTGTTCACTGAGCAATTTAATTAAACAATCATCTCTCACAGCACCTGACCAAGTAATAATCCAGGGCTGCTCGATTCATTCAGTCCGCGTTCACTTGGAGTCCGAGCACCACCAAGCATCGCCAAACCGAGGGGAACCAAACTGAAAAATTAAGTGAGCCCACTCACTGCCCACCTAACTGGCGCACGACAGTATAAACCGAAGCTGGCTACTCCAGTACTATTCATCACCATCGCAACTTCCGCCTGCCGCTCCACGAGCTCTCGCCCTCCCATCCGCCACCTGCTTCTATACTCGCCGCTACCATACATTTCTTTTTTATTCTACTATTTTGTAATAACTTGAACGACACATAATGAACTACCCCGCGCAATTAGCAATGCAATCTAGACTTAGTACGACTCAACTCACAACCAATTCTCGCAATGACCTACCTCTAGCATGTCCTTCGGAATGCCCATAAACACTTGACACTAATATTTTGATAGACAGTACTTCTGTTGCGCCCTGCTCTCCAACACCCTCGGCTAGTTTTTCGTGTCTATTGTTACATCCCGCTGTTCTCCTGCACCTCCTGTCCTCTCACTTGCATTAAGTGTTTTTTTTCTCACAACTAATGGAATCATCGAGCAACCCTCTCTCGCGTGTTCTCTTACTGTCTTGCATGAGTCTTCACACACACCTTGTGCCTACCGTCACCCTTGTACACTAGTACTCTTGCATATCCACTGATGTCTCGACTGTCTTGTGCCCCGATACCTCTCACCCACCCCGGTGCTCCCACGTATGATGACATTCACGATTTAGATTGTTTTATGTAGCATTGCAGTGCATTTGTAGATTTCTTCGTGGCGAGACTTGAGCAGACATAATTCAAAAATTTATCGATATGATAAGACCGCCGCCCACACGAACGGGCTGTTTAAACTCCGCTCGAAGCCGCCCCCAGAGTTTACGTAAGTAGAATTAGAGTTCCCGTTTTTTCAAATCTACAGAGCCTAGAGTTTTGCCAGTTCTGCCGTTTGCAACTCCAAATAGTTCTGTTCCTCACAATCAACGTCAGGCACCCTAAAGGACTTATCAGGTCTTGGCATGTATTTGCCGCATCTTTGCGTGCGCTCCTATGGGAGGATTTTTATTATTATTGTCCGGTGGGCCCCTATGATGGACAAAACCTACGCTCCTATGGGAGGATGCCATAGGGATTGTCTGTACAACTTCAATTACATCCACCCCTCACGGAACATATCCGTACCCTGACATCGCACGTTGACTCACATTCGCTTCGCCCACCACGTCATGCTGCATTGTCGCGGGTTCTCTTGCTGCGTCATGTAACACCTTCCATCTCTGTCGCGCATATGTATGAGTCATAAATTTGATCCAGCTCTGTCAGTAAACGGGAGGTCTGGCATGTGTCCTCCGTACACTATCAGTATTCGGGGCTTCAGACCAGACCAGCGCTTTTTCTGTTACATACTTCTTCCTTCATAAAATCGTTGACCTGCAGTGAGAATACCTTTGATCGCGCGAAATGTGAAGTATACATACCGTAGCACTGTCACCTGAAGGGGATCGCTCGTAGGATGACATAGGATGGATCCGAGATTTTCACGTGCGTACATCTGGGGTAATCTGCTGGCATTGCAGATGTCATGTGGTCGAATGCGGCACAACCACGCAAGAAGAATTGTCAGGAGACCTTCAAAGTTTGTACATTCGCTGACGCGAGCCCAGTAGAGGGATTTCGGTGGATCAACGGTGGATAGGTTCTTAAAGCCATAAGGAACGTTATTCAGCATATAAAAGAAAGGTGCATTCCTACCAACTCTTCAGAATTATTTGATCCCATATCACATCCTCATACACAATGCGTTTCACCTTTAAAATCATCCTCGCCGTCGCTGCTGCTTCGGCGTTATCAATCTCTGCTACACCCATTGTTGACAGTAGCACCGACAAATGCTCCGCTTGGTGTTGGGACGACGGAGCATGCCAGGGCTGTGCTTTGAAGATTTGCGTGAGTGTCAGTGGTTTTCGTGGATTTGATTGACTCACCTGCATAGCAGGAGTTTCCTTGGTGCAAAGTGAGGGTTTCAAGTATTGCTTCGAGAATCAAACCAAATTTTACAACGAATCCTAGGTAGTGACTCCTTGGGCCTGAGTCTCAGTGAAAATCGAAAGAAAGAGGTAGAGATGTGTCGATATATCGAAGAAACGTTATAAATTGTGAAACTTATGTGATCACGTGTTTATTTCCGTATTCAAACAACCACACCTCCTCGGAGTCTCTGACATTCAATATTCCTGTTTACTCATAGCTATGGCGTTCGTCGCATCAAATGAGTTCATTTGCCTCATGAACAAGCTATAATATTTCAATCAGCTGTAACATCGCCGTTTGTGCATGTAGGCCGAAACTCGACACGAATGAGTTACACTCACAGCAAGGTTCACCATACTATCGCCACTTAAACTCTCAGAGAGGTCACGGTGTTGCACCCCCTGTGAATGAATCCAGTTGAAGTTTGGAACTGCAGTCGCACACCTTGTCAGTCCGGTTCTTTGCCTTATCGCTTTCAATGTTTCATACGCTCATAATGGTCTAGCGTATCATATGGACCGGTCACCACGGGAAGGTGAAACTAAACAACAGTTGCCTATTATGTGATGTTACAACCACACGATACATAGTGTTAGTGCGTCTTTTGACATTCAACAAACGTCTGTGCATAGCTTTTACCTCATCCTCACGGTCACCAGACCGAGGCTGAGAGTGATGAAACGGGCATGTGCTGGACGAGCAGGGGTTTGAGAATCGAGGGACTTGCTTACAGGCCGCATTACAAAGGATGTTGACAATCTGTGGGATAGGTGAGTTATCTGTTTACTTCGTTTTATCGCATTCTATTTTGTGTTATCACGACCCAGACTTGCCCAGCCGCTACAAACACACCGAGATTTAGTCATCGATGAAGGGTCTTGAGCCTGAAGCAGAATAAGCACCATGTCATATTGACGCCGAGCAATGGAGTATAAGATCTAGCCTGAACGTCGTCGTTAGACGTCCACAAAGTATCCCACTCACTTTCACTTATCCCCCAATATGACCCTAGTCTCGGATGATCCTAGCTGGTTGCCGACGATTAATTTCTTCTATTTAAGTTCATATTTTGTAGGTACGTGGAGACCTAGTTGTATGATGACGGTGGTGTCTCGATCTAACCTGGGCTTCGGTGTCGCAGTGGTAGCCTCCGTCATGGTGATATACGATTGGGGCGAGCAAAGCAGTACACACTGAAAAATTACTGATATGCTCATAATATCTTCATCTCCAGTACTGACACTTGGACGAGAGGTAGGTCGATTGCATCACCGGAGCAAGCATCTTACTCAGAATCGTATTATAGGTTGAACTGGTCTGGGTGAGCAGAGTCTCATACCAGAAGACAACAGGATGATGCGATTAATCTGGAGCAGAGGCAGCGTTTATCTCTCATGACCATTCTATATTTCAGTGTATGTCGCTTGAGTCATGAACGTCGACAAGTTGTGCTGATGTCAAACTATTCTAGATGCGTTATATCGGAATAATATATGCTATATATGTTTGAAGTTAACGTTATGGCATTGCTAATAACCCATCACTCACCATCAGCAACAACATATTGTGTATGTCTCTTTGCATACAGTACAGTTGGCTCGTCTGACCGACGAAATACAGGGAACCTTCCAACAGTATCGCAGACAGATATAGTGAGTATTCTGCGCTGATATCTGTTAATACCCCTCTTAATTACCTGCCTACGTGCAAGGAGTGAGTGACATTCCCTGCCGGATTGTCGGTTCAATATAATGACTGTAACAGGTGTAAGTTCCTTTTGAGTATCTGGGTTCTACGAAGCACTGAACGGGCATTTCAGGCAATATTACCAGCTTCACACTAAATTCAGCAAATGTGATCGTGACTGCTATTTTGGGTGGTGAGTGACTCAACTGCAATACATCAGTAATATTGACTGACGTATCATGCTAGTCATCATGATTGTTCGGTTATATGCCATGTATCAAGGATCGAGAAATATGCTTATCTTCCTCATCGCAATCTTCCTGACTGCCAACATCACTTCTGCAGTGGTCGCTGCAGTAAGTTTCAGCGATACTTCAGGAGGTAAGTTCTAGTTATGTATCAAATAATCAGGCTGACCCGACGAATATTAGAGGAGCTTATTCTCTCCGGTACCTATCAGTGCACTCACAGCTCCACGGGTGACCCAAATCTAGTATTGGTGATCTATATACTCAACACTGTATGGGAGGTCCTCGCACTGGGTCTTGCCGTGTGGATTGCTGTAAAACAAGTCCGTGACTTGCGACAATTCGGATCCTCAACCTTTGGGGACTGTCTCAGAGAGTTGATCAAATCTCACGTGTTTTACTTTGGAAGGTAAACTCATAATTTGACTTGATAGTCTTTGCTGCTTAAGTTCTGCATGAACTAGTTTTTTTGCTGCATCCTGCATGAACTTCGGTAGTTTTGCTCCAACAATTGCGGTATGCCGATCGTTCGCTGCATGCGACTGCGATTCATCATTTTTATAGGACTCAGATTCCATGGGAGTCATCATATATTCCGGCATTTCTGTCATCATCGCTATGGTGATGTTTGTACTTGGTCCACGCCTAATCCTTGACGTTCGAGAACTCCACGCTAAGCTTGTAGACGACTCTGACGCAGGAACCGGCATGATTTCGATTGTTTTCCTGGAGCATGTACACGTGTCAACTGGTAGTTGCGTGTAGCACAAGAATTCTTGTTGGGTGCTATGCAGGGAGCAGGAGAATTTTCGTGGAGTCAGGTACTCAAAAAAGTTATATTCCGAACATGGTCCGAAGAGAAAATAATAGGTCTGAGGTAATTGATTTCTTGTTGAGTCTGTTGGAGTAAGTTATTTCGGTACGATGCACCTACGAGTTATACCACGGCTGTCCTCGTTGATCACTTGATAGTCAAGAAAAGAATCCGAAACTGGTTGCAAGAGAACCGAAAAACTCTGATACATCCAGTCGATCCGAAATTAGTCTAGTTATCCCTCCCTGGACCAATTAAAGAAGCACATAGAAGTCAGGGATGGAGTTAAATCAGGCTGGAAGGACAACACGTGCAGCCATATGAAACGTCAATCGGTGACGGTCCGAATGGGCCCGCTCTTCCACGAATCGACTTATCACAACTGGCATCGACCGAGAAATGACACGAGCTCTCAAGATCATCCCCCAGCGAAGCGCCTACAGCTACATCCACAAGAGAAAAATGTCCTCAACATCATCCCTACCGAAATTCGTCGTCTGGGCACCCGACTACACTGACGAGGGTGCTCTCGGACGAAGACTAGCAGTAAGACCTGCCCACCTCGAGAACATCAAGAAACAAATCAGTCAAGGCGTCCTACGTAACTCAGTTCAGCAAGTCATGTACCTAACGCTAAAGCACTTTGAAATTCAACAGAGGTTGGCGGAGCGTTCATGACGCCCGAATCCGTCGATGCAGCTGCGGCAGACAGAAAGTTTCGCGGCTCGTGCATGATTTACGAGGGCGAAAGTATCGATGCCGTGCGTCAGCTTGTGGAGGAGGATCTTTATTATAAGACTGATGTGGTGCGTCTTGACTGTTATGATGTGATTGATGTATGGGCGCTGATTCGGAGACTGTTATGATACAGTGGGACAAGGAGAAGCTCGTTATTCTCCCTATCGCATTGGCAACGGGCCTTCCGCCTGTGCCTTCCTGATACCTGCAGACATCAAAGATACTACTTATGAATGAAAGATGGTATAGACTTGTGACCAGTCTGACATTAGTATGATACGTCTTTGCTCGATTGACTTGTCCGCGGTTATACCAGTACTAAGCCCTAGCCTACGTCATGATACCACGCAATCGCAATCTTGATGAAGCTCAAGAGCCGCTACGAGGCCCAAGCCTTGCAAGGTTATCTGCGGCTCTCCGCCCGCTTTTGAGTCCGTGAGACAATGAATTTATCCTATCGAAGCCATCAAATCATTTGAACTCAAAAACCCCAACAAGCTAGTCCTATCATTGACGATGAAGACAAATCCGTGCACTTCCTCCTTGGCGTTGCATGCATGGTGGTTGCACCCAGCGAGAACAGAACGTGAGACACAACGAGCTTGAACGTGATTCAGTTTGCTATGACGTATGTGACGATGACTATGCTGGTGCAGATAGGAAAGTTTGGACGTTGTGACTTCGGATGACGGAGCGACGAGTGTTCTGGGATCACATGTCCTCAAACTGCCAAAAAACCTTTCGCAATCTGCTGGCATTGCAGATATTATGGGGTCGAATGCGTCACAACCACGCAGAAATTTCAGCAGACCTTCAAAGCTTGAACATTCGATTGACACGAGGTTAATAAGGAGATTCCAGCAGATATGTTCTTCTTAAAACCTACTGAACGTCATTCAGTATATAAAAGCAGGGTGTGTTTCTACTAACCCTTCAGATTTATCTGATTCCAAATTACACCCTCACACACAATGCGTTTCTCTTCTGTGATTGTCCTCGCCGTCGTTGCTGCTTTGGCATCATCAATTTCTGCCACGCCCATTGATGCGCGCCACCATGAATGCCCCTGGTATTGCTCGGTTGACTCACAATGCGGCACTTGCTATTACGGGTTTTGCGTGAGTACCAGTAGTTTTCTTGGATTTGATACACGACTCACCTGCATGGCAGTTGCAGGGACTTCAACTCTGCGTGGTGAGTCGTATTTCTGCTTTCACATCGATGCAGTATGGGACGCGCAAGTTACTAGTGATTGATCGAGTTGACCGACGTGCATCAAGAAAGTATCGGTCCAATTACATACTGGAGTTGGCCTTGAATTTTCTTTCAACTGGGAGATGTCTGTAGATAAGACGTGTAACTTGAAAGATACAGACAATAGTAACACTGTTAAGGAGGGCGTGGATTAGTCTATGGCGCACACCAAGCCTCGCAAGAGCGCAGGCTATGGGATTAAGCCAGCAGAAGGATTAATACTGCCAGTGCACAAGAACTAGGGAAAAAAACAAGCTTCAGGACGTAGGTAGAGAGAATCGAGATGAGTCGAGAAATACGTGGCAAAGTTCTACTCACTGTGCAGTTGCACCTAATGATGCATCACAGATCCGCTAGAGCTGTCCTGTTTGTTGGATGTATCTATGACACGAACCTGCGACTGATGCAGACCTGCTGTACCTGACTACTCGTCAAACTTCGGGTTCTCGGCGAGGTGAAGCTCCTTACTATGGCTATAGTTCACACGTCTTTCACAGGTGGTGAACCATCATCGCGATTGCCGCCGCAGGGGCCGAGTGGAAGCGCTCCTCAACTCAGCATTTCGTCAGCAGCCAGCAGCACTACGCATGGATCCTTATCATCACATTCTCAGCACACCCGAAGGTCAGATCCAGTATTTGAATTCGACTGTTGCACGCCCTGTCTCCGATGTAGCAAGACTGAATGAATCAAATAAACATTTGTTGGAGTCCGCTCACAGAAGGGACAAACACAAGTGATAGATAGTATGCTCTGGCATTTGGCAGCTACCCAGCAGTTCGACCTGATCATGCGACTATATGCACTATGAATGAGCAATTTCGATCAAAAAGTAACACTAGTTAGTACTACATATATCCACTGAAGAAAACAACGGACCAATTTGCAACCTTGGTAGCCATGAGTTTCACAGCACTTTCCCTTGAAAAGGTGATGCTCGTCAACAACGCACGCGGCTCGGTTGGTCATCAAGGCCAAAGAGCCCATCGAAGAAAATTGGGGCCATGACTTGTGCCAGAAAGCTCACGGCTGCCGAGAAATGCGCGACCAGTTAGCTATTGAAAGGCAAGTTGGTAGGTCTTACGTCCGTACGGCATACAGTTATACGCCTAAACACCCTCGGATTACAGTGGAACTAAAATCGCACTTCCACAGGGAGTAGAGTTGGCTTCATGCAGAGAACTGAGGTCAACAGTGATGTTCCCGGACGTAATATGGACCGTGGGAAGGTGAGACAACTGAACAACTACACGCGATGTGCAGCGTTTGCATGATATTGACCGTAACGTTTATGCATAGCTTTTATTTCATCATCATGGCATGATGGTGGGACAGAAAAAGAAATGTCTATCATGGAATGTCGCAACTACCCGACACAGCGTCAGTACTTCTATCCCATCCTCATGTATAATAACCCGACGACCAAGACAGAGAGCGACGCAGTGGGCATGATGTAACAGATGTTGGAGGAGCAGGGGGTTTGAGAATCGAGGGGCTTGCTTACAGGCCGCATTGCAGAGGGTGTTGACAGTCGGCGGAACAGGTTAGTTATCTGTTTGCTTCGTTTTAGCGCATTCTATTTTGTGCTATTACGACCGGGTCGAGGCCAACGAGGCCAATCGCCGCCACTGCCATGCCGACACTTGTCGAGGATCGATTACAACACGTCCAGACCTGTATTAGATGACTACAAATCTACTCGGATTCAGTCATCAATCAAGGCTCTCCAGCCTCAGGAATAAACGTTAAACACCCGTCTCCCATTGCATGATATTAATGCCGACTCGGAGTGATGAAATATAAGGTCTAGCCTAGCATCGTCATTATAAATTCACAACGTATCCCACTCACTTTCACCCATCCTCATCCTCGAATATGACTCTAGTCTCAAATGACCCCGTTCGGTGGCCGACAATTTCATTCACGCATTCAATCTCCTATTTTGTAGGTACGCTGAGAACCACTTGTATGATGGTGCGGCGTCTCGATCTAACCTGTACTTGCGGTTTTGCAGTGGTAGCCTCCGCTGTGGTGATATACGATTGGGGTGAGCAAAGTAGTACACGTCGAAAATGGTTGATATGCTCATTGTATCTCTAGTACTAACACTTGGACGAGAGGTAGTTTGATCTCATTACCGGAGCAGACGTCTTGGTCAAAATTGTATCATAAATTGAACTGGTTTGGGTGAGCAGAATCTCATCAGAAGACAATAGAATGATACAGTCAATTCGGGCAGAGGCAGCGTTTATCTCTCATGACCATTCTATATTTCAGTGTATGTCGCTCGAGTCATGAACGTCGACAAGTTGTGCTGACGTCAAACTATTTCTAGATGCGTTATATCGGAATAATATATGCTATGTATGGTTGAAGTTAACGTTATGGCGCTGCTAATAACCTACCACTCACCATCAGCAACAACATATTGTGTATGTCTCCTTGCATACAGTACAGTTGCCTTTGACCGACGAAATACAGGGAACCTCCCGACAGTATCGCAGACAGATGTAGTGAGTATTCTGCGCTGATGTCTGTTATTACCCCTCCTAATTACCTGCCTACGTACAAGGAGTGAGTGACATTCCCTACCGGGCTGTCGGTTCAATATAATGACTGTAAGAGGTGTAAGTTCCTTTTGAATGTCTGGGTTCTACGAAGCACTGAACGGGCATTTCAGGCAGTATTACTAGCTTCACACTAAATCCAGCAAATGTGATCGTGACTGCTATTCTGGGTGGTGAGCGACTCAGTTGCAATACCTCAATGATGTCGACTGACACATGATGTCAGCTATCATGATTGTTCGGTTATATGCCATGTATCAAGGATCGAAAATATACTTATTTTTCTCATCGCAATCTTCCTGGCTGTCACCATCACCTCTGCAGCGGTCGCTGGAGTATGGCTCAGCAATACTTCAGGGGGTAAGTTGCCGTCATGTATGAAAGAATCAGACTGACCCGATGAACATGTAGAGGAGCCCATCCTCTCCGGCACCTATCAGTGCACTCACAGCTCCAAGGGTGACCCAAACCTGGTGTTGGTGATCTATATACTCAGCACTGTATGGGAGGTCCTCGCATTGTGTCTTGCCGTCTGGATTTCTGTAAAACAATTCCGTGACTCAGGCTTGCGACGACTCAGAACATCGACCCTTGGGGACTGTCTCAGAGAGTTAATAAAATCTCACGTGTTTTACTTTAGAAGGTCAACTCATAATTTGACTTGGTTATCATTGTCGCTAAAGTTCCGCACGAACCAGTTTTTTTGCTGCATCTTGCATGCTCCAAAAATCGCGGTATGCCGATCGTTCACTGCATGCGACTGCTATTCATCATTTTATAGGACTCAGATTCCATGGGAGTCATCATATATTCTGGCATTTCTGTCATCATCGCTATGGTGCAGATGTTTGTACTCTGTCCAAGCCTCATCCTCGACGTTCGAGAACACCACGCTAGGCTTATAGGTGACTCTGACGCAGGAACGAACACGACTTCAATTATTCTCCATGAGCATGTACACGTGTCAACTGGCAGTTGCGTGTAGCACAGGAATTCTCGTTGGGTGCTATGTAGGGAGCAGGAGAAGTTTCTTAGGAGGTCAGGTACATAAATAAGTCATATTCCGAACATGGTCCAAAGAGAAAACAATATTGATGATGTTCACTTTCATGAAATCCCGATGCTGCCAACTCGAATGACATTTGAGGAGATGCATAAAGCCGGTGAAGAAGTTTCTCCTTCCGAGGTCAATTATCCGGACAACGTTGGCGGAGGTATCCTTGGAATTCACTCACCTATGACATATTCAGTGAGCTTTCCTGTGCTAAGTTTCAGCGTTGTTGGTTTACGTTTTTGTAGAATTTGCTTCGCGAAGCCTCTTCAAGTTGGCTTGAGTAGCATATGTCTATAAGCCCTTCAGGAACCCCCAGAGTAGGCTGTATGCACCTTGGTAAATACTCTCCATTACCTGACGCGCAAACCACAACTTTCATCTGTGTTCTGTAGTGAAAGAACATGATGCCGTTTCGTTATACGACTGTTCCTCAAAGTTTCGTATTTGTAATTGTACATCTATTGCCCATGCTCTAGGCCATCGACGGATAATTCGTCTTCCTCGGCTGTATCCTTGAAATCTACAATCATTTGCCTCGGAATCCCGCCTAGTTTTCGCAATATCAAATATTTACCCCTTTCGTTTGTGACTAGATCTCGGTCCTTGAGATGTCTTCTCGTCGTCACTATTTCCTAATGGATTAATCCCAGCTCTGAATTTTCAGGCACGTTCAAATACCTCCTATCACAAAGTTCGATTCGTGACACCTGGCACGGACCTGACTGGAAGGTTTCACTGATATCTAGGTGTGGTGAGATTGTTAGTGATTTTCGACTCGGAAATGGTAGCCCCATCTGATGTCTCCTCGTGCGATCACCTGATAGTGGAAGACGGACTCCTTGTTCATCCTAGCAGCTGCAGGATATACATGCGAAACTAGCCCACCCTGAACCAATAAAAAAAACGAGTGTCAGCAAGACAGCTTAAACAGGGTGTCAATAATGCTGGCGGCCTGAAAGCTGGGAGGACAACGGATGCAGGTGACCTCGGCCAATGGAACGTCAATCGGTCCGAACTCATGCCCGCTCTTCCACCAACCGACTTATCATCGACCGCGAAACGACACGAGCTCTCAAGATCATCCCGCAGCGAAGCATCTACAGCTACACCCACAAGAGAAGAATGTCTTCAACGCCATCCCTACCGAAATTCGTCGTCTGGGCACGCGACTACATCGACGAGGGTGCTCTCGAACGAAGACTAGCAGTAAGACCTGCCCACCTCTAGAACGCCAAGAAACTCATCAGTCAAGGCATCCTACTGTAAGTTCAGCACGAGCTGGATATCTGGCGTTCAAGCACTTTGAAATATGACAGGGGTCGGCGGAGGGCTCTTGACGCCCGAATCCGTCGATGCAGCTGCAGCAGACATAAAGTTCGTTGGATATACGAGGGCGAAATCATCGATGCCGTGCGTATCTTGACTGTTACGATGTGATTAATGCTTTCAATGGGCGCTGATTCGGAGATTGCCATGATGCAATGGGACAAGGAGAAAATCATTATTCTCCCGGACCCCATCGCATTGGCAACAGGCCTTCCGCCTGTGCCTTCTTAATATCTGCAAATATTAAAGATACACTTATGAATGAAAGATGCTACTTCAAGCCACGCAATTCCCCGATGTCTCTGCACGATAGGCAATGGTGTATGATCCCGGTGATTAGTCTTGGTCTGAATTTGACTCGACGAAGGGTGTGACGTGTCATGTATGGGAATGATGCCTGGCATAAAGCAGCATGGTGCCAAGCCTGTCGAGATGCAATAATCAAATCTGCTAAAGTACCACACTTATTGTTCATATATATCCTACTCGCACATATACCATTTTTATTACCTACTTACTGCCTAGCGCTTATAGCACTTAACCACGTAGCAATTAAACGACACTGCCACTGACGGTTTGACTGAATACTAGTCAGCATTACGAATATCATGTGGGTCGAATGCGGCACAACCACGCGAGAATGTCGGGAAACCTTCAAAGCTTGTACATTCATTCGCTGACGCGATGCTAGTAAAGGGATTCCGGTGGACCAACGGTGGATAGGTTCTGAAAGCCATAAGGGACATTATCCAGCATATAAAAGAAAGTTGTATTCCTACTAACTCCTTCAGAATTATTTGATCCCATATCACATCCTCATACACAATGCGTTTCACCTTTGCGATTATCCTCGCCGTCGCTGCTGCTTCGGCATCATCAATCTCTGCTAGGTCCATTGATGGCGGTGACTCCGATGGATGCCCCCCCGCGTGTTGGGTCAAAGGAATATGCCTGAGCTGTCCTTCGGGCGTTTGCGTAAGTATCAGTAGTTTTCGTGGATTTAATTGACTCACCACATAGCAGAACTATCGTTTCTGCCGCAGAGTGAGGTATCGAGTATTTCTTCGAGAATTAGACCAAATTTCACAACGAACTCCTAGGTACTGACTCCTGAGGCCTGAGGCCTAAGTCCCAGTAAAAATCGACAAGAAAGAGGTAGATACATGTCGATACTATATATGAAGCCTATAGATTGCTCGCCACTTGAAACTTATGTGATCACTTGTTTATCTTCGTATTCACCGTTGCGCGTAGCACGGGAATCTCTGTTGGGTGCTATGTAGTAGGGAGCAGGAGAAGTTTCTTGGGAGGTCAGGTACCTGAATAAGTTATATTCCGAACATGGTCCAAAGAGAAAATAATACCGATGATGTTCACTTTCATGAAATTCTGATGCTGCCGACTGGAATGACATTCGAGGAGATACACAAAGCCGGTGAAGTAGTTTCTCCTTCCGAGGTCAAGTATCCAGACAATGTTGCCGGAGGTATCCTTGGAATTCACTCACGTATTGCATGTTCAGTGAGTTTTCCTGTGCTAGTTTCAACGCTGTTGGTTTTACAAGCGGCTCGTGCCATGAATATGGAATTTATCTGTGTTCTGTATCGAAAGAACATTATACCCTTTTACTGTTCAAAGTTTCGTATTTGTAATTGGTCTATTGCCTATGCAGATAAGTTATCTTCCTCGGCTGCTATCCTGATTTGCCTCCGCCTAGTTTTCGCAATATCAAATATTTACCCCTTTCGTTTGTGACTAGACCTCGGTCCTCTCTCGTCGCCTAATGGATTACATAATCCCAGCTCAGGCACGTTCAAATACCTCCTATCGCAAAGTTCGATTCGTGATCTGAATCTGTACCTGGCACGGACGTAACCGGAAGGTGTGGTGAGATTGTCAGTGAGACATCGAAGGCTCAGCTGCTCAGACTCGAAAATGGTGGCCCCATATGATGTCTCCTCGTCCGACGAGCTTCTTAGCTCATACAGGTGCTTGGGACGAATAGCCATGCGACGCACGAGGGTAACTTCGTCGGTGCAGTCTGTTTTCCAGACCGTGTAATGGTGGATGTTTGGAAGATATGAAGCGAGCGGTGTCATTTCGATCTGAATGAAGGTGGACGTGCATGACGTATCTAGCTCAGAGCGGACTGGAGTATGAGTATGACTGCAGTATAGTGAGGGTGCTAGCTGTGAATGAATCTGTTAGAGTCAAGGCAAGTAAGTTATTTTCAGTACTACGATGCATCTAAGAGCATACCACGGTCTGTCCTCATCGATCACCTGATAGTGGAAGACGGACTCCTTGTTCACCTAGCAGCTGCAGGATATACATCCAAAACTAGCCCAGTTATCCCACCCTGAACCAATTAAAAAAACGAGTGTCAGCAAGACAATTAAAACAGGGTGTCAATAATGCTGGCGGCCTGAAAGCTGGGAGGACAACGGATGCAGGTGACCTTGGCCAATGGAACGTCAATCGGTCCGAACAGGCCCGCTCTTCTACTAATCGACTTATCATCGACCGCGAAACGACACGAGCTCTCAAGATCATCCCGCAGCGAAGCATCTACAGCTACATCCACAAGAGAAGAATGTCCTCAACGCCATCCCTACTGAATTTCGTCGTCTGGGCACCCGACTACACCGACGAGGGTGCTCTCGAACGAAGACTAGCAGTAAGACCTGCCCACCTCGAGAACGCCAAGAAACTCATCAATCAAGGCATCCTACGTAAGTTCAGCACGAGCTGGATATCTGGCGCTCAAGCACTTTGAAATCTGACAGGGGTCGGCGGAGGGCTCTTGACGCCCGAATCTGTTAATGCAGCTGCAGCAGACATAAAGTTCGTCGGATCGTGCTTGATCTACGAGGGCGAAACCATCGATGCCGTGCGTAAGATCGTGGAGGAGGATCTTTATTATACAGCTGATGTGGTGCGTGTCTTGGTTGTTACGAATCCGATGTGATTGATGCTTGGGCGCTGATTCGGAGATTGTTATGATGCAGTGGGACAAGGAGAAAATCGTTATTCTCCCCATCGCATTGGCAACGGGTCTTCCGCCTGTGCCTTCTTGATACCTGCAGATATGAAAGATACTAGTTATGACTGAAAGATGTTAGCAATCGACGTGATAACGAGACCCATGACCAGTCTGACATACGCTAGTACTAGGCTGGTTCCGAGCCTACGTGATAATACCACGCAATCGCAACCTTGATGAAGGGCTGCGAGGACCAAGCCTTTTGAGGTTATAAGCATCTGCAGTTCTTCGCCCGCTTTGATCCCCAACAAGTTCCCGAGATAACAAAATCTCATTGTCCTTTCGAAGCCCTGAAATCGCTTGAATGCAAAACCCCCAGAAAACTTCAACAAGCCACGCAATTTCCCGACGTCCCTGCACGATATAATTAAATATTGGACCAACTAGCGGGACAACGGCACGATAGGCAATGCTGTATGATCCCGTCGATTTCGTACATTCGAACCCTATTGTTTTCCTGAGAGAGACATCGCAACAAGGGTTTTGTCGCGGAGTTTACACGCCCAGAATACCAGCCAGCGAAAGAACGCCCAAATTTTATTCTATTATGTGCATATGCAACCTAGCTAGATCGTGAAAGTTCGTAACGCGTAACGGTATATATTGTACACTGAACAAGAAAAAAGTACACATCCGGCGAAAGAATACTGCCATTTTGATGTGTTTCGTAGTTCGATGAAGTAGGCGGGACTATGGGATTATAGGAAACCATTGGGGAACAAATGAGAACATGGTATATGTTACTTGGATGATATGATGGAGTGAAGATAGCAATAGAAATATGGAATGCAAGCAAAATGTCAGCAATGCGGAAATGATGGGATTGATTGTAGATGATGCGTGGGTATATGCGCGGCAAGGCGCGCATGATATAATTAACAAGCGCTCTGGATATCACATGGGAGCGGCTGATACCGCGGTGATGATGATATCTCTGGGGAAAAAATAATGAACGATGCGATCCAGTCGAGCAATCTATAGTACAAGAAAGCGAGATCAATAACACTATTGGAAATGGGAGGAGGGGGAAGTACTGACGGTTTTCTTCTTGAACTCATCACGCAAGGCCGCTAGCAAGCCAATGCTCTGGTCAATAAAATAGAGCAGGGTCGATGACAGAATCGTCAGGAATGGCATAAGACGGCTTCCAACTCGCAGCAACCCGCCGTGTTGACGAATATGCTGCACCAGCAGGGGGAACATAGCCAGACTGTGGTACAGCAGCAGTGTTCGTCATCTGTGTGAAGATTGGCACTTGTCCTTGTGGTGGCGGAGGGGGAGGGGCGCCCACCTGCGGCACCACAGCGTTTTGCGGTCCACCTTCACCCGCGTCGAAGTTGATGAACTGCATCATGTCGCGCGTGAATGCACTCGGCTGACGTTGCCGTTGCTGCGCTGCCATATAAGCCTGAACATCAGGGTTAAGCTTGAAGAACGATGCGAAGTCGTCCACCGAAAGCTTCGGGTCAATAAAAGTGTCTGTGGGGTTCACGGTGCCGGAAGGATTCACGGTGGTGGGATCGTGTTCGTGTGATGATGCAGCAAGTACCGCCTCGATATCGAAACTATTGTAATAGTTTTCAAATTCCTGTGACTGCGCGTCAGGGTTTGGGGCCATGTCGACTTCGAAGTCGCCTTCAGGCTGAACAGGGACATCTCCAGAGTTGATCTTTGTAACGTCGAAGACACCGTTCTGGTCAGGAGATGACATCATGTCCTGAAGTGAGCCTTCGAGCTCGTGCATTGTCCCCAAATTGTTAGCAGCGGCAAGGTCGAAGTTCAAGAAATCCTGAGTAGCACATGAAAAAATTAGTGACGGTGACGATAGCGTTGACAAGCGACATACCTGGGGCTGGTAGTCACAAGTCACCTTTGATGCATCAAAGTCATCCCATCCGGGAGTAGGTTGTTGGGCAGCTGCAGAACCAGACGGCTGCGATACGATGTGATCTTGTGAAGCTTGCCATCCACCATAGGTACCCTGCGATTGCTGCATAGGCGCAGACTCCATATTGTATGAGTTATGGGGAGGGGGGAATGCCTGGAAGAACGGAGGAAGACCACCGTAAGGCTGCTGTGTGGGTTGCGCATCTGGGACGGGAGATATACGTACTGGAGGTAGCTCATCTAACCGCAATAGAAGTTCATCCGAGAGGGATGAAAATTCAGAAGTAGACGAAGGGTTCGGCGATGACATAGCTGACAATGGTGGTGATGGACCCGTGAGTCCAAACTGCATTTCGGGGTCGAGGAAGGTGTAATTGTAATAAGGCATGTGAGGGGGGACGTTCTGGACAGGCATGACACCGGGGAGAGGGTAAGGAGGTGCATATGCCATCGCTGGCATGACTTGTTGTGGGTCGGGCTCTTGCATTGGCTGTGGTACAACTGCATCGTGTTGCTCCTGTGAGGGCCCGGCGACTGCGTCTGCACGACCGCGAGTTTTCTTCCTCTCGCGAGCCCGTTCCTTGAGCTGCTTTTTTTCTTCCCTGATGCGTTCCTTCTCCTCCTTCTTCATCGGTTGGAACCTATAATCAGGGTATTTACGCTGGTGCTCCGCCTTCTTCGCGTCTGCGAGCCGCTCATACTCTAACTTAACTGCATCTGACTCCTTTCGCCACATGTCAGAAACAAGTTTTGAAACGTCGGCCTGGGCTCTGCTCCGTTGACCAGGCTCTGCTGGTGGTAGCTCCTTTATCTTATCGGAGCGATAGAGGATCCAGGCGTTGGGGGGGCGGGGAGGCTTGATGTCTTCATCATTCGTTACGCGACTTTTTCCTTTAGATCTAATTGGACCTGGCATAGGGTGCAACGGGTGAAGAGCGTAGTATAAAGTGTAGAGCTTGAGATGATTTGGAGTATGAAAGTTCCTCTGAATGGGAGGATGAATGTTGTAGTTAAGAGGAAAAACTGGAAGGTCGCGTCGTAGATGAAGTGCGGGAAAATGTGTAAAGACAGGTCCCATTTTAGTAGGTCCTTGTAGGTCCACACTATTTTGGAATTGTTTGCTCTGTGGACCAGTTCAGCACAGCTTCTGTACCACAAAGTCCACTATCTGCTCTTTCAATGGTCTTGCCATGACCAAACCACAGTGATTTGACAGAAGGTACGCATTATACAAGAGCAGTCGTGGACCACTTACCATGTCGGCCATCGCTTGGATGTTCATGAAAACAAAGTAAGCTCGTCGCTCGCTTGACAGCTGCCACAGTTCACAAGGAGTTCTACAAGGCAAATTGCTTGCGTCGACCGATCCCCGGTTTCAGATGCTGACTTGCTTCAACACTGAGTTGTGAACGAAGACCAGAAGACCGGCGAAAAAAGGCCACTAGCTTTACCTAGCCTCGGCGTGGCACCGGGCGGCAACCTTCATCCAGGGACTAATCTTGGAAACGAATTAGTCCTCGACGACCCGCCTTCAAGTTTGACTTGATATTTTCTTGTTTCTGGGCCATAGTACACAACTGTACGGTAGAGAGTCTTGTCAGTGCTGCGTAGCTGCCTCACCAATGTCCCCGTTACACGTTTTCGATCACTGTATTACCTTTTCAGAGCCAATAAACCTAGACCGTCATAGTAGGCAAAGCTTTGATCATTCGCGCTGAGAATTACGGAGTTAAGCCGCTTCTCGGGTAAAATAGCCTCGAGGCCGTCTTCTTGAACTTTGCAAATGCTTGGCAACTTAAGGATCCGACACACACGTTCAAACTAAATTTGTAAAGGAATCTCGAGAACACATGTTTTGATACAAATTTCGACCGAGTATTTAAGTTGCGTTATGATCAAACAGATACTGTAATGCATGCGGAAATATCGTAGCTTGGCGAGGATGAACACGACCTTTGAACATCATACAGAATTGCGACACCGACCAATCTTGAAACACAAAACCATTGGAGGGCTCAGTAGCCTCCGCCGTAACCACCGCTGTTGTATCCGCCGCCACCACCACTGTATCCGCCGCCACCGTAGCCGCCGCCACTGTGACCGCCGCCATGGCCGCCACCGCCGTAGCCTCCACCTCCGCCTCCACCGTAGCCTCCGCCTCCTCCTCCACCACTGGGTCTAGCATTGGCCAGGTTAACCCTAAGCCGGCGACCATCAAGCTCTTGTTCGTTCATTCCTGCGATGGCTGCCTCGGCTTCTTCATTGCCGTTGAAGGTGACGAAACCAAAACCACGAGAGCGGCCAGTTTCACGGTCCTTCATCACGATGGCCTAAAAAAACGCAAACGTGCAACGAGCAGGAGCGCATATAACAATTTTAGTCGCAGAAAAAAAAAACCATGGGCGATCTGCCATCATCGGTGTCTATCTTTGACCACGATGGGAGATCGCCTCAATAGATCGCGCACATCAGTAACATTGCCAAAATCTCCGAAAGCCTGTAAAGTGGATATCAGCATCGAAGACGGACTAATCGTGCAGAAGAACTAACCTGTCTCAAGGAGTCATCCGTCGTGTTCCAACTCAGATTCCTGATCGATATGCCGACATCAGTAAGATCGCTCCTCCACACGATCAAAGCAGCATCCACGTACCCAACGTAAACTTTTGCCGCCATGATATTGTGTGATGACGAGTAATGCCCTTCCTGAACTATCAGAGTTCAAAAGAAACGGGTTGATAACAAAGACAGAATGGGTGATGGATTTTATAGTGGGGCGCTCTTATTTTCAGACTCCCCTAGCTGCTTTGGGACATGCCAACGTGGTTTTTGAGTTTGCACATACTTCGCGCTCGGAGTTGCCCTTGCACCTCCCAGAACTCCCGTGGTCATTTGACAAAACTTGCATGCGGCCAGGGCCCAGCCGTGCACCAGACTGAAACAGATGCAGATCACGCAGCTGATCATCAATCACGCTTCATAGCGAGATGTATTCGTGGCGCTGCGAAACACAGGTCTCAACGCGGATCTTTACTGATGAAAGTGATTTATTTATCACAGGAGTTGCAGTGAAACGTAGCAGATCAGGGCTTGATATACAAACATAGTAGGATGCTTGTTTTTTTTTCTCATGATGCCAGCTAGTGGGAGAGTTGTGGGATCTCGACATTCTCCCGACTCACCCTACTTTCCCCTCTCCCATATGTTCTGGATCAATGAACCTGCCATAAGACTCCCTCTCGGACACTCTTTGTTACCAACTGCTTGTGTCTGATTGAACAGGATGTTATCGTGACTTCAAGACTTTGGTCAGGTGAATGTACCCCCGGGCCAGATCTTCACCCATCATCTGGCAGGCCTCCGAGTCAGGTTCGGTTCATTAACTGCCATTTGCAGGTGGTATCATGTACCCCCAGATCACAGGCTGTTGTCGTTTATAGTGCCCTTCTAGTTGAAGCAAGAAGCAGACACAAATGTCATCAGATATCATTATGGAGAACATAAATTCACTACGAGTTTCTAATTTATGCTAGCGCGTCCTTGATAACGCTCGTGAATATTGTCTCTGCAGAGAACATCATCTATCCCCTGAAAAATATTCTTCAGGAAACAGGAACCGCTCTCATCACCCCCAGTACCATGCAAGTGTGTGCCTTCGAACCAAATCCGCTCTGCTTATCCACTTCTAGTTGTCTTTGCATCCCGAGGTGGGAGTAAAAAGATTGTCCAGATGAATTGTTGTGCGCAACTTCTGCGGATATAATCACCGCATCAGTCGAATCGCTCTCTGAGAGCGATGGGGCGGGAGGTGATTCATGACAGGAGGCGCCGCAAGACGATCTTAGGCGCTGCACGATTTCATGTACCAGTCTGCGTGCAATCCCTTGTCGTCGGAACTCGGGCGATACCCCAAGTGTCAACAAGGTAACCCGCAAGGCGCCTCCAGTCTGATCCCCGCTCGAACCGAGCGGCCCTGGCGTTGAATGCCGTGTTTCCATGGTAGCAGAGGCAAAAGCTATGACTTTGCCGTCGTGTGTGGCTATCAGACACATGCGATGCGGCTGTATGAGCAGCTGCACAAAAAATGCGGTGGGGTATGCGACTGGGAGGAGTTTGGTCTTTGGGACCAGTCAAGCGACCTGCCAGTCAGGGGCTCTGATGTGCAAATGTGAAAGTGTTTCCTCACATGGAGTGCACGGACTTGTAGCATGTCTGAAGATCTCATCATCCGTATGCCGATTCCGTCCGGTAGTAGTGATGTCATGTGTCCACTATCACGTTGAGTCATAGATCTAGACTTGGTTTGTTGGCAGATTGCTGTAGGAGACGAAATCGTAAGGATGGATATGGAGAAGACGCTTGCAGGAGTAGCATTCGAGTTTCAGCTTTAAAATTTTAGTACGCCTGCACTGGTTACGGGCGTTGTCGGCATGGAGTACATTAAAGGCATAACGCAATGATGTCATGCAATTGCTTTCCTATTCGCTCCGAGCCTCCGAACACAAACATATAATAAGTGTGTAGTATATTGTGCGGTCAAGGAACCGATCTACAGAACATTGTTGCATCGCAGCGGATTATTGTAACATATATAGTCCAGTGTCCTTATGAGCGTATTATGTACGGTCCACGCACCCGAGTGAATTATTGCAGTGACGACAGAACTCTAAACCCGTCCCGTCATTTCAGTATCATAGACAGGCTTGACCGACGCTTCGAGATACTTTGTTGGCCAGTAGATGATGTATGTGCAAATACCAATCAACAGTGGCAGGGAGTCGAGAAGGTAAAAATAGACTTGGGCAAGGGTTAGACCAAGCGCCTCAATTTCAGTACCACTCAACACTTACTTTCATGTGTGAGGAGATAGCCGCCATTTCCTTGACCAAGCTCAGTGACACGGTAGATACAGCGAATCTGTATCGCGTAACATCAGTGAAGATGGAGAATGAAGTGTGGGCGAAAGGCGTACCATGTAGGCTGTTGAAGAAAACATCAATATCCAAAGAATTTGCCCCCACGGCTCCTTGCGGAACATAAGGCCGTCGCGAACGATACAATGCCATGCATGGACAACCAGTATCATAAAAAACGCAAATGAGACTGTCTGAAGAATCAATCCGGCGAGTAGTATGTCCGAGCCCAACTTTGCACTTGTCGTATTTCTCGACGCCTCTAGACCGCCACCTCCACCCTGCACAACGTCGTGATTAGTCCTCCATGTGACAAGGCAAACAGTCTAACTTCAAACCTGTATGAGGAATGTCGTGATATCGCTGACAACGAAGTACCGGGCAACTTTCTCTGGTTTTATCCAAGAGTAGCGTCTGTCCACACAATGCACGATGAAACGCCCATAAAGGATGTAATTGAAGGCGAGGTATGCGGCAGGCGGTAACAAGGTGAGGAGTTGTTGGGCCATGAAAATAGGGAGAGAATTTGGGTTCGTCGCCATGGGTATGCGCATAAAAAAGCCAACGGACATCACTGTTTTAATAGTCAACAAGTATCTCGAGGTGGACAGAGAGAACTGACAGGTTGAGGCTATAGGGAGACAAAGTCCCCACCATGCCTTATTCATAAATAAGCGGGTGAACAGGCATAGGCTGGCGACGGAGTACAATACGCCTGCCGCGATTGCTGCGGCTTTGCTTGGGTCATATTCTGGATGACATGGATTAGACCCAACCCAAAAGATGATACATTTTGGACTGACTAAATACCGTGGAGACTATCGTCGGCGCTTCGACACCGACTGTGCTGTTGCTGCTGGCTAATGTATTTAAATATCAAGTTCAACAGATATTGACATATTACTGACCTGCGCTCACCGCGCCGATGAGGAAGGCGACAACGATCAAAATATTCGCAGATCGCATGCTGGAGGCTTGGGTGTTAGAAGGTGATATCAAGATACAGCAACTCTCAAGGGTTATATATACCCTAAATGCGATGATCCAGCATCAATAGACCTTCCAAAAGAAGGGAAGGTATCTACGGGAACGTTAACAGCCTTCACGGCTGCAACCTGTGAAATATAGGTGTTGTTCAAGTAATCGGCGCAGTAATCATTGAATGTGGCCCGAAAGGGTCCCAGGAGTGTTAACGAAGACCGGCGCAATTTGTCTACCGTCGGAGGGGAATTGAGCACTGCCGGCTGGTGACGTACCACCAATATGACATCCGACGGGAAAGTGTTATTTGGCAAGTACCGCAGTTTGATGTGCTCATCAGAACACAGATGGAAATGCGTACACGCGATTGATGCACGACTGGATAATCGACAATTGATGATCCTGTGCCATACCGAGCACAGCTCTCGTCAAGTTCACAAGCAGTTCGAATGACAGATCAATATCAATTGCCATTGAAGCGCAGTTCAGTGGCACAACAAGACTTACTGCATTACCCGCCCTATCGCAAGTGGCTGTCCGCCCTTCTACAGACTTAGCTTGACGTTCCTAATACCGTCGGAGTCACACGACAACATCACACGCATGCCACCATATCAATGGCCCGAGTGATAAATCATTGTGATTCGCTGAGCACATGGTTTGCCCAATGGGTACGCCTCGCCGCCTCTTTGTGCTGGACAGTGAGAAGTTCCAGATTTTGGGATGGATAAGAGGCAAATGATGCAGTATCCGACACCCTACTAGGCTATCTGTCGAATTCAGTGCCGATTCCCGAATATCGAGTTAGCCTAGCTAGAAATTCTAGTAGAAAGTCAGATATTCAACTTGCGTCTTCAAGTTGAATTTTGAATTACTGTCAGGATTACTAATCGTGTACCGCCGGGCGTAGCTATTTTGACGCGGTCCTGCCGCGCCTGCCGCGGTCGTGACGCGGCCGTGACGCAGCGTGACGCGCATGTGACGCGGCACTGACGAGCCTTGACGCGGCACTAACGATCCTTGACGCGGCCACTGACGCGCCATTCCTATATTCTATATTCAACTTCCAGATCAAGTTGGATGAGTTCACGACCATTCTTTTGTTATTTTATTTGCCTCAGAGCCATGTACAACTAGGTATACATAAGCCAATGACTATTTTCTTTTCCTCCCTCTCTGGACCCTTCGAGCCTGTGGAGCACATCGACGTTTAACGGGCGGACATTCTTCGGCCGGCAGAGAAGGAACTACAGCTTCGGATAGCTCGTCTGCAGACTCCAAAGATGTAGCATCAGAGTTATCACTGAATAAGGGGCCGCGCTGTCAATCACATAAGTTAGATATCTATCGAACGGAGCAGGTAAAGTCTTCCTCACTTCAAGTTCACTCTCGCTATAATCTCTTGCAGAAACCCATTCATCAGGAATTCCGAGATACACATTCCATCGCCTGTGATGTTGGCCAGCATCCAAACCCCACTGCTGGTTGCCTGCAGGTCCTGCTTCTTCGGAATCCTCGAACATCCTTGCTTCTAGTGCGGTCAGACACTCGAGGTCGACATCAGCCACGAAGCTATTGGTAGGATAGCTTATCGTGAGATCAGCCCAGGCCATCTGCGCGATAATAAGGGTTTCTTCTCTAGGCCAGAGGAGACAATGCTTGGTAAAACAAATTCATTACTGCCTATGGACAATTACAGTGTACGACGTCTAATTCTGTCAGGATGAAAAGGAACACTGTTAGAATATCAATTATTATGACAGATGTCAAGTAAAATATACCTAAGTTATACGAACAGTGTGTAAATCACAGTTGAGGTGGTGAGGTTTAACGCGGCATGTGGAGGTGTCTGACGCGGCATGTGCTACTTGTGACGCGGCATGAATGAAGTTTGACGCGGCGTGACGCGCGGGTGACGCGGCAGTGACGAGGTTTGACGCGGCGTGACGCGCCTGTGACGCGGCATGAAGGAGGTTTGACGCGGCAACTGACGCGGTATGTGCTATGGTTGACGCGGCACTGTAGTAGGCCTTGACGCGGCATAGTGTGTGGATGTTGATATTAGTACAGAGACTGCGAAGATATTTGGGAGAACTTGTCGTGGTGTGAGTAGTGCTTGACGCAGCCTAAACGAGGCTTCTGACATGCCATGGTTGGGGCTCAACGTGTTGGTGCAGGGTATAGAGAGTGGATCAAACTTGGCAGGGTGAGGTCGAAGCTTGACGCAGTGAGACAACATTTGACACTGCATCTGAAAACCAACATAGATGAATGAATTAGAGGTAATGCAACAATATAGGACTGACACACAAGATGCATACTAGTAGTATGAACGCAGAGGACAAGCACTGTAAATTTAGTGAGAGGTGAATACAGCACTATACATCAACAAAAGAAGCACTGGCATGTATGGCCGGTTTCTGCCTTGTGCGGCTTACAAACCCCGAACTGACTGGTATGTGGTATTGTACAATTTGTAGCACATATACAAGTAGTAGCAGCTATGTTTGAAATGTAAAGTTTCTACACGAATTGTGCGAAGCTTGTCCAGCAATCAACAGAAGCGCGGAGGTATGTCTGAAAATGTGACGTGTATGCAAGTCGTAGCAGACATGTACGGAATGAAAGCTCGTACGCAAAAATGTGTTAAGCTTGTAAATTACTAACAGATGTGTGGAGGTATGCATATATACTTGCAACGTTGTGTGTCCTATACCAGTAGGAGTCTTAAGGCCTAAGGCCCGGGTGATGCAGGACATCCGGACCATTGAAAGAGTGCTGCGCTGAATGACCTGCCTGGGCCACTGTGCGGACGATGAACATGTATCAAGCAAACATAGTATTGGGTAGGGTAGTACTGGAGTGCCTCCGGGGTCAGGGATGCAACCATGATCAGAACTCATCAAAACCCTCTAGCTCTTCATCACTGTCCTCACCATCCTCTGCACCCAGCTCGTCATCAATCTCCTCATCACCTTCAGTGGCTTCAAAACCTTCCCCATCCTCGCTGTATCCGTCCTCATCTTTTTCTTCATCAAAAACTTCCCCTTCAACCTCCTGTATTCCAGAGTAGCCATAGTCGTCGTACTCCACGTCAGACTCGTCACCTTCATCCAGCTCCGTGATTTCGCGTCGAGCTGCAGACCCTTCCCCATTGTCCATTAGACCACTTTCGGGCTCATCACCTGTATCAAGCTCCATGGCGTTGCCTACAGACTCTTCCCCATCATCACTCGTATCACTTCTGTCGTCATCGCTGCCGTCCTCACCGGTATGGACTACTGCAGCGCCGGCCTGATGTGTGTCCAGTTTGTCACGATCATCTAGAAAAATGTTGGTTGCTTTGCGAGTTGTTCGATGGCCAACACCACCCCCTCGAAACCTCATCAGCATGTCTCGATCAACAAAACTATTAGAAATTAGCGACATCATCCACCCATGACAATATCACCTACATATTTAGATAGAAATAGGTCCAATCTTCATCGTTGTCACTGGGATGACGGGCGATTGATGGCGACATATATTCGGAGGTATGGCCGTGAGCAAAGGCTGGGATAAGATGGATTCCGCGGATGATATGTTTTGGATCGATGAAGCCAAATGCACCAGGATCTTCGCTTGGGATGAAGCCAAGTCGGTGTAGTCGCTTCGCCTTCCAGCCTGAACGGTGACTAAGATCACGGCCGAACCAACGTACCCAAGCAAAGTCGACTTGGATAGGATCATATGACGATGAGTCGACGGTGGGATCGTGATAAGAAACCAGTGCATGAAACACACCAATAATCCGGGCATACCAATAAGGATGGCCATTGGCCTCGTCATCCTCATGGGACAAGACCATGATATCAGCGTGAGTCCTGGAGTTGAGCGAGTCTTGTTCTCGTCGTAGATCGTATGTAGTTAGTTCACACGGATCACCTTATGTTGATAGATACAATCATTTACCAACATCAGTCGGCAACGCTGAGCAGAGGAGAAGGAGACCTCATCGCCATCATAGTCGTGTCCGAGCAGTCGTGCAAGGATGTGATCTTTTAATCTGGGAAGAAAATCCTAGATATTTTAAAATACTGTCTGAGCGACGAGGATAGAGGTTGGAGTCGGGGGTACTCACCGTGAAGGCAGGATCACCGTCGTTCTTCCTCAACCATTGAGAAAGACTCAAAAAGTGGCGCGCCCCATTGGAGATGTGGTAGTGTACTCGAGGGTCGGTGTGCGGTAGCCGTTCTGAATCTTCAAAGCGTAAAAATGGCATCTCTATTGCATCAGTAGCAATGCTCCGCCTCGTCTGGACCTCTCTGTTGTGCAATGCAGCGGTTTTCTTCTTTGTCTTGGCCTTATCCTCAGGAATCCGCGTTCTCATCCTGAAAAGGATTCTCTCCCGTCGTTGTTGCTTTGCAATTCCAGATATGTATCGACACTTGCTCACTCGCGGGTAAAAGCGCTTGACGCGCCTGTGCTCAAGTTCGCCCTATGAATCAATATTAGCGCTAAATCAGTTGCTACACAGATCACTACTAGTACTTACCAACTGGGTTGTAAAGTTATCCGTTGTCCCAAATTGTCTGATGGTATTAACATAATCACCCAGTGCGTGAAGCTTATAAGTCCGCATATTAAACTCCCTGCGCTTTGAGCGTCTTTGAGGTTGTTGTTTTACCGAGTTTTCGTGCGCTTGACTGTGGGGCAGACTCTGGGCAACCTTTCGTGCTTGGCGACGGCCACGAGCGGCTTCTTCGCTTGGGAGATCTCGAGTGTCAAAAGTTGCTGTCTCGCTGGAAAAACGTCTCAAAATCTTGCCGATTCGAGTTGTGGATGTATCGAGGAAGGATAGGGTAGTGTCCGTGTGCAGGCGCAACTTTGCCAGTCCATGCCACGTAGCCAATTCAAAAAGAAGGTCGAGGACAAGGGTGTTAAATGGTTCTGGGAGAAGCTCTTCAAACACCGGGATCGCGCACTTAAAAACCTTGATTAGTATGCTGTACAAGTACCACTATGAAAAAACATACCTGTAAAAGGTCCTCGAAGTCCCGCGCTGCGAGCTTCTTCATGCTAGAGGCGTTTTCAGTGAATTTTCGGATTGTGCCTCTGCTAAATGTGGGCACTTGGCGATATCTGTTGATGGATATCAATACAAGCAATTGAAGTAGTTAAGCAGGAACTAGTACCGTCTATTCAGCTGTTGTATCGTATCATGACCATATGCATAAAGAACGCGGATGAGATGTGTAAATGTAGCCTTCCAGACTCCCAGTTCGAATTCGTGAAGCAGATCGGGGACAAACATGGTGTAGAAATTGAATCCAAAGCGTGCGAGCCGAGTTGAAAATGCATTCTAAGTAAATCAGAGAGATAAAATAGAACATAGTATAGGAAACATACTGTGCTGGGGACAAGAGACTCGGGTGCAAGCATCCGCTTGACAAAGATGCTGGTGATGTTAGTGCCCTTGACATACAACCACTCCCGAACCTGTTTGATTATCGTCCATATTCTGTGCCCGTCTTCACGCATCTTTGTCTCGCGCCACCGTCTGTCAGCTTTGTTTCCAAGACCACCTATCTTTATCTTGGGGATCAGGCACCGTGGACACGGGCATTGAGCAAGGAATTTAATGGACGTGAGAAGTGTTCTGATCAGGCAAGATAAATAAACTGAAATTGCAGCTTTGAAAGGCCCTTACTTTTCAGGGTAATCTGCCGAGTAAGTAAAGAAACGAGGAAAGACTCTGCGGGAGACACCATCAAGACATTCGATAATGATCCCAAACTCGTATGCGTGCATGAAGTCGTCATCAAGGAGTAACAGCCAGACAGCTTGCATCAGCTCGTGCCGACAGTGACTTAGGACTTCAGCTGTCGCAGCCTTCTTGAATACATGTTGATAGAAATCTTGAAAAGTATCTGTAAGCTGGCGGAAACATGTCAGGCATGGATAGAGCAAAGCAACAAAGCTCATACCTTGGGAATGTATGCGAGATGGTGCGCCGCAAACGATGTTGGCTTAACTCGCATGTACTTCGACTGATTGCCTAGGAACAGATAGATAGGCCAAAGCGATGCAGTCCCGAAGTTCGTGAGATGGGTGGAGTCTGACCAGAACATCACCGCCGCAATCACAGTCTCGAGTGTACAGCCACCTTCTCGGGGTTGCGAGCGAATTTTCTCATGCTCGACAAGCATTGCAGGTGAATTATAGATTTCTCCATAAATTTTCTCCACAGGAATGTCGTCAGAGGGCTGGTAAAACATGTTGAATGGGGTGAGATGGAAATGTTCTGCAGCTGATTCATGGAATGCAGCTTTGACGACTTCGAGAGGCTTGCGATAGAATAAGCCAGCAACCTCAAACAGCGGGGCTGCATCCTCAGTTGCATGCCGAACTCCATCGGCTGGGATGCGGATTTTCACACCAGTTTCTATCCATCCGTCCGATGCAGAGAATGAAGAACGGATGTCTTCAGCATCACCCTGATAGTTGTCAAGGCGACTGCTTTCCTTCAAGGCCCCAAACTCCTTGAGTTCAGCTCTGTCGAAGTCCGCTGCAAGGATGACCTCGTTCACGAGACGATCTAACTCGGCCAGAGATTTCATACTGGAACCACTATAAAACCAAGACATGAGACGAAAGGTTGTTGCGTTGAGAAATGGTGTGAAGTAATTTGTCGAAGGAGCTTGAGTTGATCCACCAAATCCTGACCACCATTGTCGGGCCCCGAGGCTGTCCGGATTCTTGGTAAATGTTGGTGAGTCAGCCAGATGTGCCACCGACGTGAGGTTATCGGGGTTGAATGATGGAAGTGAGTGTACATATTGGCGATATATACCATAATGATCTCGTGGAGTGCTGATAATGACAGGAGTTGGGGGCTGTGGATCTATTGGTTCGACCTGTTCTGCATTTGCATCCTCCAAGGTTGAGGACGATGCTGCTACCACTGGGATAGGCGGTAAGTCATCGCGGAATCTTCTCGGTAGGCGGCGGCGGCGATTTGGTAGACCTGACAAACGATATGTGGCAGGTGGTGATGGAGACCTTGCACCCGGATCCTGAATGAAAGACATCAGACACAACAATGTGAAAAATGAGTGAACATACCGGTGGTAACTCTGGCTCAGCAAAGTGTTCACGCAAGTCCTGGCGAGCCATCAACTCTGCTTCTGCTTCTTCCCGATGACGGATTTTGACTGCTTGCTGAGTTTCTCGGTCATGTCTTCTCTTCGCTAGAGAAGAGGCGACAGCATCAGCTATTTTGCTTGAACAAGACCGTTTGTGGGTACTGAGAGCCCCGCGAGAATCAAACTCTCGACGACAGCCCCTACATGTGTGGGCCATGAAGAAGAAAAATAGAAAAATATAGACGTGAAATTGTGCTAGCATAGACTCAGCCTGGAGAGGGAAGCTAGGGAGTTGAATGGCTTTACAGTGTTTTGCAGTCAGTGGTCACTGTGCGACGACATAATCAAGTTCCGGGTTGAAGTTTGTTTTGGCGTGACAACCTGAAGCATCCGGGTCTCGATGAACTCACTGCAAAGGCCAGATAAATGGCAAACCAATGAAATTTCCAGTATCTACCTGCTGCGGTGTGTAAATCTACAACAAATCTATGGAGAGAAGACACCTGTTCTTAGGGAATGGATGTCTCTGCGGGGAATTATGAATCTGACAGTGCAATAAAAATGAGCTATTCTCCTGCAATGGAAACAGGATGATGAAGAGGGTAGGTAAGAAGCAGGTATGTCCGCGACAGTAGCTATTGAAATTGTGTTGTCCGAATGATACATTGGAAAATGGGTTAGAAACTTACAAGGTGGGTCAGAGAGGTAGCTCGGCACAATCCTTATGCTCTTTCCGAATGTCTCCCTGTAGAGAGACGTCTGCACGAGCCACGCTTGTGAGGATGAACCAGTTTAAGGCATTCGGACGAAGCCATCTATATAATTTGTATTCTGAAATGAAAGAAATGAGTTGGTACATTCAACGTACGTGATTGAAAATACTTACCGTGATAATCAAACCCGAAACACTCCACAATCTGCACCCCAGGGTCGTTCGCCATCTCAAACACAAAGTTTCACACAAGGATGAATAGCACAGCCTGGGACACATCCAAACCCGGTCAAAATGATCGTGAATTAATACTCAGTGTGCAGCTGCGTACCTTGAACTCTGCCAACGCAAATAGCATCCCTAAGCACATCTGCACCCATTCACCAAGTTCGTACAGATCAGTGATGATAGCGGTGGAATTCACTGTATTGGCGAAGCCAAACAACCAGCTTGAGATTTGGACGGGGTGAAGGAGTTGCTATGACGACATTTTCGATAGAAATGTCTGATTTAGCGTGTTGTGACCTCGAGAGAACGGAGGCGGTGTCAACGTGTGTATGGGTAGGAGAAGGCATTGTACTTGTGGGATCCGATCTAACAGGATGAAGGTGAACCATGCCATAATCACCACTAGCATGGTCTGGTTCTGTTTCGTCTAGACTGCTGTGACCCCCATGGGAACTCGCAAAAATTGTGTTGCTAGATTTTCGGCGATGAACCGAGACCTTGTCCATTGAAGAACTGAGCAAATGCAAGGACGAATAACCGTTGTGTTCGTCTGGTTTGTTATCCTCAAGGACAACGAGGTAGCAAAATGTACTGAAGATTGAGTTGATAAGGTGGGAGATGGAGGAACAAATAGAGAGGCACCGTCGTTAGAAGAGACCACTGTGGGGGATGAGGAATGAGAGTGGGGAGTCAAGTGAGACCAGATGCTGTGATTGAGGGCTCGGAGGTCCTCGTATGCGTGTTGCTCGTTTGCTTTGACGATACACTTGCAGGAAATAGAGACTTTGGGGAGGCTGGTCACCTTGCGAAGCGAGGTCAGTGTGTAACTTAAATTTTGCCACACATGTAAGCTCACGTACCAAGCAAGAATATTCCGTGTCCATCATGGTTTGATCACTATCCCCGTTATCATCCGAAATCTTGGGTCCATGTCGGCAACGCCGACCCCTAGTACCAGAAGATTCAGAACCGAGACACATGATGGCCAAAATTTTGATCCGTCCATGAAACAAGCCATGACAAACAGTCACACTCACTGATTTCGGTGCGGATCTTTGGAACACAGTCTGGGGTTGAATATTAATGTTGATTATACAGTGGCTCAAAAAAGTGTCCCAATGTTTGTAGCTTTTCACGTAATTGCTATATCATGAGTCAAGACGTGGAAATACAACTAAGCTATAGGAAGATGTCGGAAAGGTCTGCTTCTCAGCTTCATTTCGGTTCCCTATACCGTGGGAAACTAATGACATTATGTGAAGATATGAGTATTTTAATTTGATGACTCATTGGGACACTTTTTTGACTTTGAGTTTAACTAATGTAATCTCTATAATTCTAGTACTGTGTGTGACCTCCTTCTGCCCCAATCACTTCTGCCACTCTTCTAGACATATTGTCTATCAATTTTGGGTATTCCTCTTTGGTGATTCCATCATACTCTGCTGTAACACTGTCTCATAGTTGGAATAACCCCTATGGTGAATCTTGATATGCTATAAGTAATTTCTTGAGTGATTCTCAGAGGTATTCAATAGGGTTGATGTCTTGGGTCTATGTTGAACATGATAGAATAGTAATATCATGGTCTGCAGGCTATTGGTGGCTGATTTAGAGGTATACTTAGGGTCATTGTCTTATCACAAAACAGTATCTTCTTCATTAACTTATAACTCCTGCATGCTTCTTAGCAGACATTCCTGTCAAATGAGTATTTACTACTCTGTATTCATCCTCCCCTTTGCTTCATAGAAAATTCCCATTCCATTTTATCTCATATAGTCCTATACCATCAAGTTTTCGTCTTGAAACTTAAGGTGTTTATTTAACTTTTCTTTATCTTAATGATTGTCCTATCTATTTTAATACAAATTCCTTGCCATATGATCTTATCCTATTGATTTTAACCATATCTAACTAGATAAACCTCTTTCGGCTATCAGCAGTCTAATATTTGTACTTGAAAGTAGCATCTTGTCTTTTCTTTTTATAGGTTGGAGACAGAAGAATCTGTTTTTCTTGATTATAGCTTTAAGATGGGCTGTCTTGAGAGTCTGTCTGACTATTTGAGTAGAGATAGTCATAGGAATGATGGAAATAATCAATTTAGTCACTTTATTAATATCAGCAGCCTTTTAAATTAGAATATAGTGATTAAGAGATCTTAAGTCTTATAGAGCAACCTTCTAGATTGGCTACCAAATAACTTAAAGACCATAATATTACTATTCTATCATGTTCAACATAGACCCAAGACATCAACCCTATTGAATACCTCTGAGAATCACTCAAGAAATTACTTATAGCATATCAAGATTCACCATAGGGGTTATTCCAACTATGAGACAGTGTTACAGCAGAGTATGATGGAATCACCAAAGAGGAATACCCAAAATTGATAGACAATATGTCTAGAAGAGTGGCAGAAGTGATTGGGGCAGAAGGAGGTCACACACAGTACTAGAATTATAGAGATTACATTAGTTAAACTCAAAGTCAAAAAAGTGTCCCAATGAGTCATCAAATTAAAATACTCATATCTTCACATAATGTCATTAGTTTCCCACGGTATAGGGAACCGAAATGAAGCTGAGAAGCAGACCTTTCCGACATCTTCCTATAGCTTAGTTGTATTTCCACGTCTTGACTCATGATATAGCAATTACGTGAAAAGCTACAAACATTGGGACACTTTTTTGAGCCACTGTAGCTAGTACTGTACCACTTTTGCATCATTCACGCACCTAAACTACCAACCATGTCATCTGAACCGTCCAACACTTCGGACACATCAACTCATTTTCAAGATCTGCTTAAGGACCTGAACTTTGGCGTGAAAAGTGGGCGTAAAAGAAAGCTCTGGTAAATTCCAAATCTTAAATTGTAACATCAACTCACCATGAGACCAGTGGTCCAATTGAACCGTACTTACACGCAGCTCGGTGGTTTCCTCTCGCGATCGACCCATTTTCTTCGCTCGAGAATGTCTTGTATGAAGGCATGGAAGCCGAATTCTCTGAATTGCGGGAAGACAACACAGATCAATCCGAAGAAAGTTCAAACAGGCAAGTCCAGTGCGGCAGCCCGAGCTACCCAACACTCTGATATTTTACCTGCACAGTTGTGAAAAGGAGTTGTGCATAAAGCAGTACAGTGAACTCGTAAAGCTTGTACCGACTTTCAGCGACATCATATCAGGGTTTGAGAAAGTTCCGTCGGCCATGGACAACTTCATTCATGCGGTAATGCAATCATGCACATTATTTGTGTGTTATTTGTCTGACAGCTAACCAGCTCTCCTCTGCCGCAAGTGATGCACGATCCGATGACACTGGGAGTCTGATGCGAGAAGGCCTCTCATATATGCTCAAGAACCCTGGAGTAGACCAGTTCAATCCCCCCCTGCTGAGACAACATGGAAAAATCGCTCGTGGATGGAACCACCCTCAGACTGCGCGGCTACTGTGCCCGATGCGGATGCTAGACACATTTGACAGCAATCCCTCGTAAGTTGTGTAATTATTGCTCAGTCGCTCTCACAAAACCAGCTATAGGTCCTTTATGGATAAGGTGAAGGAAGGTGAAATTATGATCACAGCTGCAAAGCTTCCCGCATTTCTATATGACGAGTCTATGTTGGACCCCACAAGGAAAAGACAAGGTTGTCTTCGGGGATACTACCTCAAACGTGTATGTTTTTTTCCCTATTCTTCTTCTGTTCTGTCAATGTCGTTTTACAATCCAAGCAGGTCTTTCGTCACATATTCACTGGGCCATCAAGCGCCATTTCGGCGAATGCTCACAAAGGCAACAAAGCTCCAAAAGGCCGAATGCATGGTATGACATCACCACTTCCAAGGGCAATTGCATATGCCGCTGTACAGGTAAGTCATTGCACGAAATTTACACACTGAAACCAACTGATGACCGAAGGCATATTTCCAGCTTAGTTCTGCAACACAATGGTGCCAGCAAATTGAAGATTTTGACCTCGTTCTTTTCTATGATCGCGTGGTTGATATGTTCGAAGGCAATCCCAACGGACAATGGGTTGAAGAAACACTTATTCATTGGAAGTCGTAAGATCATTAACTTTCCTCTGTGTACTGATCCATATTCTGAATAGAGAAACTCCTGGACTCCTCCATCGTGGGCGCTCCAGATCTAGGACAGATGCAGGACTTCATGCATTTGACGACAGCGAGGATGATATGGACAATTTTTTTGATTCTGATGAGCGTTCTCCTAACAACAGAGAACAAGGCTCAGAAGGTGGGACCGGGAGCAGTGGTAATGCAGACAACTTGCATGGTATATAATTTTCCCCGCATTTGAGTTGTGCCTATAACTAATATACATTCTGACCCAACAGCGCTGGGTGGTAACGGGTCAGTACACCAGGTAACACCAACAGCAGCTCAGCCGACATGCGCAGCACGCAAGAAAAAAGGACGCCGTTGACTCCAATTCAATTTTGTTGCTCTTAAGCGCACATACTTATACATATATCATCCTGATATGAGATTCTTCTATCGCAGCACCATTATATCATCTTGTAGTGCTTTTTCACCGCTTTCGTTTGTTTTAACATCTGTATGACTTGCTACCTCCGAGTTTTTTTGAATTTTCAGTCTGTACTTGGTCAGTACTCGCACATCTATTCCTGACTTGTGTTCATAGTCTAGTGTACTCTATGTAGCTACTGCATTGTAATGTGAACTGGTATGCAACTGCGAGCTGCATGACCAACTTGCCAACCGATCAAATTTTAGGTGTCGTCACATCTCGTCACATGTATTCAGATACAAACGTGGTAAGTGGACTTGCTCTTCTCCGCTCGGATCATCAACATAGCACCACAGTACGAAACACTGATCGTACCCTGAATCTGTTTAGAAGATATCTGACCTGTGAATTATATTCTAGTTTAAGTCATTTCGGCTGCCCACCAATGCCAAACCATTCAAGTTGGTGTGTGTCACGCCTTCGGACACTAAAACTTTTCCTTACCAGCTGTCTGATGGTATGTACAATTTCTTATTGTTGTTAATTCTGCTGACATCGATTCTCAGGTACTCTGGCTATTACGTCGGTCGAAGCGAGTAATCTACTTGTAGCTTCCGAAGGCGAGCGCATTGCAACATGCCCCCTCTGTCTGGCCAAAGTCACCAACATGCGTTCTCACATTGGCAAACATATTCTCTGCGCATCAAGCAATGTACCCGAGGAGGTCGTTCTAAAGGAGCAGGTATGTGTTTTTTTTCGTTACAGTTCGTTGTATCTGTAGCACTCCTCATGTACGTCATGAAATCAATGCCAAACTCATGTTAGCTGTAGCCTGGGCTGTTTGCACCTCTCATGCGAACCTGAGGAACCTTATTTCAATTCATAGGCGCAAGGTTCATACCACATATGAGTTAGAGCCGCACGTCAAATTCATTAAGTGCCTACCTCCTTGGGACCACATACCACATACTTACATAACTGCTTAGAATGTTGAACGTGTTGGACGCATCATAAGCAAAAACTCCAGCCAGCTATCGCTTCACACTTCCTCTCATGCTGGTTCCCTGTACCTTGAGTGGCATGTCCCTCTTCAATAGTGTGCACTATATTCTTTCGCCTTCAATACAAACAGAGCAATATGAGGAACTCTCAGGCTTGCTGACTCTCCACGGTGCAACGAGCGCACCACCGCATACCCATTTCATTACACTTGCTGGATCACTTATTCAGAGCGAGTGCCAGGGATCCTTGTATGTTGTGTCGGAAACATGGGTGCAGCGGAGCATAGCCCTCGGAAAACTTCAACCGTAAGTGTCCTCTATCTGTCACATTGGTACAAAGACATTGACGGTCAACGTGTCAGTGAGGAGTACTATTCAACGGATCCAAAAATGATTTTTTCAGGAATTGTTGCATGTGCCACTGATGTGAGTGAACCGTCATTTGTTGTATCTATTGTATTGAATTAACATCCATTACAAGCTCTCCTCATGGGACCTCGAAGTTCTCTCAGCTGGCATCACCTCATTGGGAGGGCAGTGGCGAACAGCCCTTACCTGCGACGTAACACATCTCTTTGCATTGCATGAACAAAGCGATAAGGTACTTGATCTCTTCGTTCCATTCATCAGTCTAATTCTGATGAAACAAACTGTTAACCGTAGTATCAAACTGCAATGCATTTTGCCCCAGATACCCACATGTTCATCCTCACACCACATTGGTTTGATGATTCAGTTCAAGCTGGATGTCGTCTTCCTGAACTTCCTTACTCATGGCCTGATCCTGAGGTGTTAGAACTAGAGATGCCGCAGGCTACTATGGGTTGTGAGATTGTAGTTGCGATACAATATTCAGCAGGAATGGTTTATCACTTAACTCTTATCGTAGAAGACTAGTAAAATATCAATATCATGCCAGCCCACTGTTTTTCTGCTCAACCGATGGTGTAAAATATTAGAAGTCTTGTGTTGGTATCGGCATATTGTCATTACATGATTGAAAGGACCTCCATTTTAGCTTGCTGTTTTGGTCTAATGCAAATTAGATCGCATCTCAGGGAAACCACTAAATCCTAGCTGCATGTAGCATCGGAACTTGAGAACTTTGTTTCATGGAGTTTCGAAACACATATCAAACTTCGCCTGTCCATCAAGAGTGGGAGACCCCATTTTGCCATGCTCTCAGGCTACGATAGCGTTGACTCAAATTCACACCCCTCTGGAGCTCTCCTCACTGCATGTGCGAGCGAGAGTCATACCCCCAACACAGAACATAGCCATGACTTTGAGGCGTGCGCTGGTGGTCAAGCACATGGTCAAGGCACCCCAGTGTACCCTTGTGGGTGCTACCGGCACACCGCGCTCACGAACAGTGAAATTGCAGATGCAATTGCCGATGCATCTGAACAATGCAAGAAACTCGAACAGGTAGCTGCCTCAAGATGCTCTACACTCAATTCCGAGTCTGATTGTTATTGTTCTAGGAAATTGACACTTGGAACACGCACATTGAAAAAAGCAGTGGTGAAAACCTATCACTGAAGCGCAAGAGGTCGATGTTGACCCTCGACTCAGACTCCATTGGAGACACAGTGAGCTAGACCCATCATTTCCATTGCTTTTCACATCAATTGTCGATAACTGTGTGATTTAGACACCACGCCAATTTGGACAGCACCTTACCAATATTCAACGCGCTGAATCAGTGCCGGTACTCGAAGTGCCCAAACGCAGGAAGCTGGGGAAAGCTTTTGAATTTAACGAGCATACAATTCACGAAACCTTAGTTGATGTTGGGAAACACCTCGAAGCTGCAATGGACAGGCAGACAGAGGTGCTATCCAGGATCTATCATGTTCTGGAGAGCCGTACCATGTAAACTTACTAACTGTAATACCTTCAGTTGCACACCCTGTATTCAAGCTCGATGGAGCAATTGGCGCAAAGTCTTTTCTCATTCTATGCCATCACTAGCCTGACAGTCATCAGTGCCATTGCAAAACTTGCGAATGTCCGAGTCCAAAGTGGGATGTGCACATAGCCAGCTGCAAGACCCGAATAAGATTTGAACTCTTGGAGTACGTCATAACGCTGATACATTTGAGTTCTCACTAGCACCATGACAGAGCTTCAAGTTCCGGGTACATGGGCCACCTCCGTGACGTTAGCACAGGGATCATATCAGTTTGATTTCTCGGGGTGTTCGTCGCTTGCGGAAACAAGAATTCAATCAGTAAACGGCTTAGTGCCGCCACCAGGTTGATGTTGCAATGTCGTTGAAGCTCCGCAATGGCTAAGCTTGTTCAAGTTGACCGTCTCCTTTTTTGTTGTGGTACGTCACTCATTGGTTGCATCAAAAATTTTTTAGCTCAACTGTGGCAACTCGGTCCCTGTTCATGGTCTTCATTCAGTATGTTCGAATTCACCGTGACAGCAGGGTGGGGTCGCAAAGTCTCAATAGCTATTAGCTGTCCAAAACTACCGAGTAATTGGCACCGATGTATGTGCTCTCCTCCATTGTGAATTCAAATTCTTGCACACTCAAACCTAAATGAACGGATAGTATGGGTCAGGCCAAATGCCCTAACAATGCAGTGTGCAGGGTGATCGGCGCTGAATTTGCTGATTGTGATGCCAAGTCTTTTACTAAAGGGATATATACAGGTCACTCAGTCATTTTTCCTCGTCTAGAATATCCTGTGTTCACCATCAGCTCCCCCGTTCAATGTTTCATGGGATACTTTGGAGCACGTAGCTTCCATGGGTTCTACCATCTATAATAGTCGAAGCGGCTCGAGAAAAACGGCGAGTATCTTTGTTGCGCTACTTACAAAAACATGAAACACTCACTGTGTCCAAAATACAGTCCGTACTGTAAATTGCTGGTTTCTGATTTCAGCCAGAGTGCGGTTCGTGTGGTATTCCCTACAGAATGTAAAAATGTACTAACTATCATTCTCTCTGAATCGGTTCAAGGTTCAGAGGAAATGGTGCCTAGAATACAGTTTAAGTTGAAGATTTAAGCTTACTCGGATCTGTTCTTACGGTAGGCCTGGGGGCAGCACCCATGACTTTTATCACATATACAATTGACGCACTAGTTACAAGTAGCTTAGTACTGTCCATGTTCATACTAGTAATTTTAAGGTTGACCGCTATCTATAACACTAGCCCTGAAGTACCTGTGATGAGTCTGGATACCTGTGTGTACCTAGTACACGGCGACCTCACTGCCACAAGCAGGTAGAATTAGCATTTACACCTTGACGCACCTCGAGACTAGTGTACATTGGGTATACCTGTGCTGATCCTGAAAGGGAATAAAATTAAGAATTTGACTATATCCAACATCTGTCCCGATTGTGCTGGTAGAAGTA